GAGAAGTATTTCCCTTATGTAGTCAGGGCAACCATGAAGACTGAGTTTCTTAATCTGTAGCAGAGGAACATGACAGTGGCAAAGTATAAGCAGCAGTTCACGCGCTTATCTCTTTTTGCACCGGAGGAGGTGGATACAGAGGAGAAGAAGCGCAACAGTTTCGTTGAGGGACTGATGTGGTCTATCAAGAGAGCTATTACAGGTTATCCAGCCTATACTACCTACGCTCAGGTGGTAGACGCTATTCTATAACAGTATCAGTTGACCGTGGACTTCAGATAGGCCAAGGGTGAGAAGCGAGGTGACAAAGACTCTGCTAATCAGTCAGCTGAGAAAGGAAATGGCAACGGACACCGACAGAATGACAAAGGCAAATTCCAGGGACAGCAGCCTTGGAAGAAGCACAAGGGTGGTTCAGATGCTCATAGGGATGGGGTACCTATTCAGCGACAGCAAAATGGAGGACCACAGGTAAGACAGGGTCAGTCACCAGCTAACCGGCAGAGGAGGCCATTTGGTACTTTCCAGGATAGTTGCTACACTTGTGAAGAGTAGGGTCACACTTCCAGGCAGTGTCCTAAAGCAGGACAGGGACGGGGACAACATGTGCAGCAGGGACAGAGGGCACTGATACCTTTACCAGCTCCACAGGTTCCACGGATTTAGGGATAAACATATCCAGCTTTATCGGCACCGCCACAGCCTCAGGGACAGGCACCGCAGCAGCTACATTATGGCAGGGTGTACAACCCCATACCACAGGATGTTCACGCACCTCAGGCTGTTGAGGGTAAGTTTCCTATTCATGGTTCATTGGGACGTGTTTTATTTGATACGGGTGCTACACACTCGTTTGTATCTCAGTTTTTTGTTACTTTATCTGGGATGATGACACGGGTATGCAGTAGACCTCAGGGTATTTCTATATATTTGGGCGATATAACTATTTTACCTGAGAGTGATGGGCCTGTGACATTAGATATTGGTAGACTCAGATTTCTAGCTAATCTATTTATCCTAGACATGCACACTTATGATGTGATACTTGGGATGAATTGGTTGTCTCACTACCATGCCCAAATTAGTTGTTTTGATAGGTCTATTGTGTTCACCATACCTGGTCAGGATATGTACGTCGTCGCTATGCCACGTTCTAATGGGGGTAGTAACACTTATTTGTTCCATGTGGAGGAGGAAACGGAGGAGGAGGTTACTGTGTCATTGGATTGCATACCAATTGCACAGGACTTTTCAGATGTTTTTCAGGAGATTCCAGGGTTGCCACCTAATCGAGAGATCGATTTTGTGATTAACTTAGCTCCAGACACTACGCCTATTGATAGAGCACCATACAGGATGACACCAGTGGAGATGAAAGAGCCGAGGGATCAGATTCAGCAATTACTCAGCTAGGGTTTTATTCGCAAGAGTACTTCAACTTGGGGAGCACCGGTTCTGTTTGTAAAGAAGAAATATGGTTCGCTTCACCTGTGTTTGATATTCCCTCAGGTTTGGGCCTAGGCCTAATCAACCCATATCTCGGATCCGAAGGGTATCACAAGAGCTCTATCTATTTGGCCTCACGAGAGGGGCCCCGCTCCAGTCGGATGGGCTTCTTTCTATGCGCCTACACTATTTAGAAGAAGGGGTTGCTACCCTTCACTCTCCTACTGTCATGGAAGTACCCCGTTCCAGTTAGATGGGTATCGTCATGCACCATCTTTGAGGCCTCCTTATATCTGGATCATCTATGCTATTCATCCTGAGCTCCCCCTGTACAGGAGCTCGGGAGCTTTAAACTTAATTGTTCGCGTCGAGCCCCCCCTGCATAGAAGCTCGGGAGCTTATACGATGTGTGGAAGCTCGGGACCAAAGAAGGCAAGTCCCAAGTAATTCCCCTATCTCCTCCTACTTTGCGGGAATCTGATAATCAGTGGTTAGGTGGCTGGGTTCCAAGGTTTCACCTCACCTTGAGGTCTACACAAGGGGGAGAGAATGTTTAATACCCAATATCTGAGCTCTAGCAATACAGACCACATAATGCATTAAATATACCATTGATTGACTGATATGACCTACCCCCCCTCCCTCTTTCCTTATCCTAAGGCCTATACCAAGGGGAGGAGATGCTCAGTAGTACTTGCAAGTAAGGTCCGGAAGGGTAGAAGTCGTTCGGCGCATTAAATGCACTGAAATGACTTGCGGCACAGAATCATCATTACGTCACATGAACCAAGGCGCATGTTGCCTCGGGCTGCCCTCCTGATGTTCCATCAGTCAGGAGGAAGTCCCTCTGGCCCACTGGTCAAAGGGAGGTTTCTCCCTCCGCGACCAATGGTCAAGGGGAGGTTACCCCCCTCCCCCGGCGTATGTGTACGCGCGCAACTAGGGGGCATTATCCAGAATAAAGTAGTATAAATAGGACTAAACTCTCATCAATTAACAGGTGGAAATACATACACACCACCTCAACCATAACCATAGAGAATGGTCTTCCAGGACTCGAGCTACCCTGGGTGTTAAACAAATTTGTCTTCTTTCTCTTAATTTTTTCTACGGAGAGTCCCTTGTGCTAGCTTGAAGCTCCACTCAGCCTTTGATCTCAACATCCCCGACAAATGTGGAATGATCTCCTCACATCATCAAAAACTACCATAAACAATTTGTTTATACTTTGGACTTTTTACAAGAATTTATCTTAAATTTGTTAAAGACTGATTTTAAAAAAGAAAGGGATAATTTCACTGACACTCCCTGAAGTTTGGCCAAATATCAGTCTAAAACATCTTTCGAAAATAACTATCACTCACATTACAACCGTTTGCTCTATTTTTCACTCACACCACAAAAGTTAATTTACAGGTATGTCAGACAACTTTTTACATGTAAAAAGACATTCTTACCCTTTGACTTTGGTTTGACCCTTCGACTTTGGCCTACCCTCATTTTTGTAATTTATTTTTTTCCAAAATATCAGTATTAAAAGACAATATGGCCCTTAAAAGATACTCCTACACACACACACACACACACACACACACACATATACTTCTATACACACACACACACACACACACATAAGCACAACACCACCACTGACACTGGCGAGGATGTTAACATAAGAGATAGTGGTGGCGACAGCCGAATCGTGGTGGCTGAGCACCAAACCACCCTCTCCGACCTCACCAACCATCTTTCCAATACCTTTCTCAGCGGCCAATTTGGCCGCAGCAGGCCAAAAGTCGTCTCGCCTCCGTCTCTTTCTGTTCCCGTCGAAACCAGAATCAGCCTCTGCAATTGGGTCAATATATATATATATATATATTATATTTATATATCGTCACCTCCCTCACCCTTTACCTCCCAGACCGGTCTCTCCTACCACCACCATCACCGTTCCTCTCTCTCCCTACCACCACCACCACAACCACCAATTCTATATCCCAACCACAAAATAAAAACAGGAAGATGCCATCACATAACTAATACAACTACAATTGAACAAACCAGAGTGCCAAAATAATGGAAACAAGGCAGCCAACAAGAAATCTCAAGACGATAACAAATTCAGAAATCTTCATAGATGACAAGACATTAAACAAATTCATACAGATAAAATGAAAAATCAATGGAAACAATAAATAAATCAACCAACGCAACAACTTTCTAGAATGATAACATAATGCAATACCTTCGGAAGATGAAAACTTTACACCTACGGTCAAATCTTCAGTAAAATGCAAATTTGAAAGAATTATACTGAAATTAAAACCCCTAAGATTCTTAGATATTTGCAAAACTATTTAAAAACAGAAAACAAAGAACAGGAACATCGAACATGCAAGAGCATTCATGCAAACACTCTACTCCGCAGAACAAATAGGGAAAAATGAACAATTTACTACCACACGAATTGGGGGAGAAAAAATAAACTCAAGGATTGCTTTCATATGACACACAATTCTGCATTCTTAAGTTCATGAATCATAACACGAATTGAGATTTTCTCTGTACGACGGCCGTTTTGTTTCTCAAATAAAGCATCATAAAGGATCACTCAAAGCCTTAATTCGAAGTCCGAACCAGTCCAATTCGTTTCAATTTCGCTTATGAATCCTAAATCTGATCTCAATTGACATTTTTTTTTCATTCGATTCATTCCATTCCAAGCGCCACCTAATTCGAATACCGAATTAGTGTGGAAAATTCTAGAAAATTTAAAGCGTTAGATACATTGATTGTGTATGGGTATGGGAAGGGTTTACAGAGAAACCTCCAAGCCCTCATAGTTTTCATCACCTCCGGCACTACAGGTGACGACATCAGTCATCGAAACTATGAATGGTTCGTATGATTTCGACATCACAACCACCAGACCCATAACCACCACTGTTCTCGCTGCACAACCACCACTCACCCCACAACCATTGCCGCACTGATCATCTCTCTGTAATTGGGTTGACATCGTCGGAGAGCTGATGAAGTATGGATTTTATTTGTGCCTATATAATTGTCAGGGCTATAATTGTCTTTAACTAATCTGATATTTTAAAATAAATGTTATTAAAATAATAGGGACAAAGTTGTTTTTTTCTATACTTTTAACTGAGGTTGTGACGGAAAAGCAGGTTGTGAAGGAAAAGCGAAAATGGACTTTACTGATAGTTATTTTCGAAAGATGTTTTAGATTGATATTTGACCAAATCATTTTATGTCAAATGAAAATATTCCAAAAAAAAAAAAAATCACGCAGAACACCGTGTGATTGACAAGGTTTGAATATTCTTTAGACCTCAATCAAAAGAGAGCAAATTTTGTAGAATGTCACAAAAAAAAATAATAATAATAAAATACAAAAACAGGTAAGCATTGTAGTTGTAGACTTGTAGTTTATACTTGGGTAGGATGGGGACAATATGATGGTTGTTTTCTCTTTCCATTGAAATTAGATTTAACTAGTGTTGTGGTGTGCTGTTCAAGTGAAAAGGTGTGGGTTGGAGGGGCCATATCTGGAAAGCAAAAGGCAAAGAGCAAACCAAATCGAACCAACCCATCCCGAAATCTCACTTCCTTATCTTTTACATACACTCTTGTGTGTGCCTGTGCCGACAGAACGAACACAAGAGAAGAGAAAAGTTAAGAGCATGGCAGCCACACTCACTCTCCTGAAATTCAGTGTTCTCCCCCCAAAACCAATCCACACCCACACCCACACCCACATCCACACCCACACTCACTCAGAAGTCCTCCCAGTTTTGTCCAACCCGACTAAACGACGACTACATGTCTCCTCCGACGAGTCTTCTTCTTCTTCATATAACCCACAAAAACTCCTAAATCAAACTATTCGCCATATGAAATCAGCTCCTCTTCCCCTTGCAGCACTCGCATTACCCTTCTTTCTAGATCCAAAGGTAAGTCTATTCTATTCTATTCTATATGTAATGTGCGGTATAACACTCACAATCCAAGTATTAATTCCTACTAATTTATATATATTTCATTGATTGATTTAAATTAATTAATAGCTGCTGCTTTTAATTGTTAATTTCTTCTTTTTTATTTATTTATATAATTTGGGTTTTAATTGAATGGTAATTATTAAATATATAGGATGCATTTGCTGTTGGTGGTGAGTTTGGAATTCTTGAAGGAAGAACATTTGCTCTTGTTCACCCCATCGTCATGGGTGGCTTGTTTGTCTACACTCTGTGGGCTGGTTATCTGGGTTGGCAATGGCGGCGAGTTCGGACCATACAGAATGAGATTAATGAGCTCAAGAAGCAAGTCAAGCCTGTTGCAGTCACCGAGCCTCCTACACCATCCCAACCTCCTACACCATCGCCACTCGATGCCAAGATTCAGCAACTCACCGAGGTAAACAATCATATATATATATATATATTCTCGTCACTAATTCTTGTGCCTTCACTGTACGTATTTTTGTTTCTTAGACTGGCAATTTTAGTTGCCATACAAGTATATATCAACGTGAAATAGTTTTACTACTCATCAACATTCAGTATATGTATATATTCAAATACTATAAATTACTACATATAACCGATTCCCCATTATAGTATATATACAATAAAGCTGAATTTTGGAGTACTATAAGAAATTGGTTCTTCCTAAATTCAGGAGAGGAAGGAGTTGATTAAAGGGTCATACAGGGACAAACACTTCAATGCAGGCTCAATACTGCTAGGATTCGGCGTGTTTGAGGCAGTTGGTGGAGGGGTCAACACCTGGTTTCGGACAGGGAAGCTATTCCCAGGGCCTCATTTATTTGCAGGAACAGGTAATAAACTATGACCTTTCCATTGGATTAGTTTCACAAAATATTAAGACTTTAAATGCTCTACTCCTATATATGTAGCCATTCCCAAGCTGCTGTTACTCAAGTTTCTTTCTTTTACTTCATTTCATTGATTTTGACTTGGGTTCAAATTATTGTGCATTTGCTATGTGGATATATATATATATATATTCTTGGCATTTAGGTTTCTGATTTCATTTTTGTTGGTTTCATTCTTGTGGAGCAGCCATAACAGTGCTATGGGCAGCAGCTGCAGCTCTTGTACCATCAATGCAGAAGGGGAGTGAAACGGCCAGAAATCTTCATATCGCATTGAATGTGTTCAATGTTTTGCTCTTCGTGTGGCAGATCCCCACCGGAATTGATATAGTTTTCAAGGTCTTTGAATTTACTCAATGGCCTTGAATCACACATTCTGCAAGTGAGTCCTCTTGTTTCTTCAATTAGGTCTATCTCATTACAAGTCATTTTCTTCTCTTTTCTCCTCTGTTACTGTTTCTAGTATATATTGTACTGTTACTATATACTTTCTATGCAATCATAACAAATAACTTCAAAGCATTGAATGTTGATAATGCTTCATTTTTTTTTTTTTTTTTTGAAAGTTCAGGACTGTGAGAAATGTCTCACATTGTCTTGAGCAATATGTACTTATGATGCAATCTTCATCTTGTAAAGAATACTTCATTTTTGTCAACTGAGTGGAGCTACCAAACTAAATTCAATCACACCATAAATTCTTATACTCCATGGTTTTAAAGTCCATTGTAAATCATTGATCCATAAATCACAATCTCTTGCGTGCTGTGTGTGCTTGATATCAGTTGGCATCGTTAAGAGGTTTAGAATATCACATTCTAGCAATGGGGTGTATTCACTTGGTTGTGCTGGCCAATGAAGTTAAGGTCTGGAAAGGTGTCATATTTCTGATAAAGATATACATCTCATACATATATAGGCTACATATCCGGTTTCAACAATTCCATTTTTATGCATAAATGTCATTTCTCATGAAAACACTAACAAGCTTAAGTCTGTGACATCCAACAATTTCGCTTTTCAAGCGTCCAAGGAAATCCGAGAGATACATTTCACAATTCCTACTTGGAAACAAATACACATCAAATTTTGCAGTAGTTATTTCAAAAAAACGTTTCCAGTGCTCCCTCTAAATTCCCTACATTTAAATTTTCTCAATTTTCTTCAGCAGTTGTCATTCTGACACCTTGTTCCAAGTTTCCTAGCTAAGACTATTTCCATGGAAAGCTGAGGAATTTCTTTCTATCATCTTCAAAATACTACTGTTAGATCACATAATAGATTAGTTACCTTCAATTGCCTAGTTCTACAAACGCAAGCTATTATTATTGTCCATATTTTAGATAACAGACAAGAATTCGAGATTCTTGTTAACAGAAGCCCTTTCCATTGATATGTGATGTTGACTTTCATTCTTCTTTTCTTTTTCCTTTTTTCCAGTTGTGAAATATAGATTTCACATATCAATGAGCAAGATTGCTGAAAGTGAAAAGGCATATCCTCCTATTGTTTTGACCCAAGATGAATGTTATCCACAATAAATTTAGAATAAACATTTCCTTGATTGTTCATTCCTCTGCCCTGGTTCCAAAGCTAATTCCACTCCCAAGATTGATGAATTTATCTGAGACATCCATTACTACCATTGTTATTGTTGTTGTTACTTCTGTTGCTACTACAATTCTACTATGACAAAGAACTCAAGCTTAACTTGTGAGCTCTTTGTATAGTAATTTCGAAAGCAATTTAAATTTTAAAGGGCATATTTCGAATCCTAATCTAATCACACCATGATTATAACAAAGTGGAATATTGGAACAATTGATTTGTCACAGTAAAATTCAGAATGTTGGTGGCTATATTAGGGCATTGGCATCGTTTATGAATGAAATTTCCGTTACTCTTTCAGGAACATGTGTGCTTGTGTGTGTGTTTTGGAGAAGCCCTAGCATGGCTAGACATAGTTTACACATATGCAGGTCTCTTGCCTGCCCATAATCTGATCTTGTATTGCCTGGTATCATGCTATTAATAAACAAAGTAATTTTGATGACTAATAAGGCCTTTTTGATTATTATGCAAAGTTGAGCGCAAGAATTATAAAAATATTAAGTTGCAATGTAAAGACATTTGATATTGGATCAAGGGTTATTGTTTTACCATTTAAATAGGTTGCATGCATGATCCAACAATATAATCGTGTCAATGTTTTTAGAACATTTCACAAGTCTTGTGGAGGTTGGGAACCAAACTGATGAAGCCGAATTTATGAATGGTCACAAAGGACCAATAAATCAATTTTTTATCCACAAAGTTTAACCAAAGAGAATTCTGAAGTATCACTAATGAATAATGAACCTGTATTGTGCTCTTGGATTATATGTATTTATGATAGTAAAGAAAACCTAGCAACATATGAAACCTAAAAAGAAGTCCAAAATGACACGAACTCTAAAAATTACGAAAATAGGGAATGAAACCTAATTGCTAAAAACTAATAAAATATCAAAAAATCAGAACAATCAGAGTCTGTTTAGACCTCCGACAAAATTTTTGAAATATTCAGTAGTCTTCATGTACAATTGAAAAACCCAATTCCAAGTCCCTAAAGAATGGAATTCAGCAGAAAAATGATGCATGGCACGAGTAAAGCTTGTGAGTATTGATCATTGGCCTGATTCTGAACGGAAATGGATATCCTCAAGTTGAAACGGGTTTGTCGAAACTATCCTGAAAACATGTTTGCCCGCCCATTTGGCCTTTCGGCTGTCCAAATCGTTTCTATAGTCATTGCAATCAGTTCAATATCGCAAACCTTTGTACTGTAGGTGTGTTCAAGCTTCTCGTGTTAGGATTTCCAAACTAAAAATACTTTATTGTCAACTTAATGAAAGTCAATTCCCAATTTTTATAGTATGATCATGTGACAAATATCAGTTTATCAACTCGATAAAGAACATGATGTATCGTTACAAGTTCACACGTTACATTTTGTTTGATAGATTGTATCCATTAGAGATAAAATTGGTTGACAATTTGATCAAATTCTTCAGAATATGGGAAAACATTTCAGAATTATCGAAAAAGAAGGGTGTCATTCACATGATATAAAGTGAATGAATAATTACTGATTTTTCCAGTTATTAGTTTTAACTTCTGAGATCTATTATATACTTGGTGAATGGAGCCTTCTTCAGTGGAAGCTAAAACAGTGAGATTTATATTTGTTTCTTGGGCACACCTTGCATTGGCCCACATTTAAATTCTTTTCTTTCCTTTTGTTAGAGTGGGTTATTACTTTTAAGAATCTAATCTTTTTCTTTTGGGGGGAGTAGATACATTGTGATTTAAGAAAGGGATAGAGGATTCAAGAGGCATGGGTCCATCTGCCTATTTGAATTGTACAAGAAGATTTATCTATCTGGAGCATTTCATCTTTATATTGTTTTTGTGAATTGCAATATTCTCTTTGGAAGCTGATACATTGCAGAGAAGAGGGAAGGCAGACAGCATCACATCTCAGCAAGCAAAGTCAGCGTGAAGAAACAAACAGAAATAAATCCGTGACCAGTTTCTGCGTTTCAATTCAGGAATCTAAATTAAGTGTCAAGTGTTGTAAACATAGAGAAATAGAATTGAATTATGTGCCACCATAAGCACATTTTTTTGACATAGAAGGGGCAGGCGGACACTATTTTTTTATGGTTTCAGGAATTTGTTCGTGTGTGTATGTGTAGAGAGGGAGAGATATATACAGTAAGAGAGTATTTGTGTAGAATATTTTCCTTTGCAGAATATATTTATGCGAATAATTAGTGCCTACTTTACGGAATTAGAATACAAATTTGTTGCAATAGCAAAGTGTCTTGTGCTTTAGGGGGCACAAGTTTAAATTGGTCTACTAGTGACACCGTTAAAATATTTGTTCAAGGGCCCATAGAAAAGTGCAATTCTTTAGTCTTCTTTACTCTTAGTCCCGAGTGACAATACAGCTGATAGTTGATACCAATCTTGCTCGGTGAACTTTTTTTAGCTGTAGGTGCTAGCAGAATCTGATGCCTCTCTCTCGCGTCTGTTTCATGCTTGCTTTGTTCATAGAGTCACGATAATTAACTACTACTATAAATAAGAGCATACATCACCCTTTCATTTTCGTGTTCTATGTTTGTTTTGATTACATATATAACTTAGTTTGGAAGAGTCTTTCCAAACTCATATTCTATCCATCAAATATGGCAAGCCAACAACCACCTGTTCGCCCATGGTTCCGACTAGCTGCTCGCCCTGCCCCGGCAGCAGCCCCTGCACCATCTCCAACCCCAAGTTTTCAACCTGCCCCACCCCAACCAAGGCCAGCTTTTGTTCGACCCACATTTGTCCAAACATTTAGGCCCCCAGTAGCTCAGTCTCAGCCAAATCAACCTCAGGAACCTGCTGCACCTCCTCCTTTCGGTACCGCTTCTGTCCCATCATCTCCAATTACCAAAGCTTCTGCTCCGTCATCTTCATTGACATCTTCTCCAGCGCCTGCTTCAACAATACTAGTTCTTTCAGGTGCGTCTTCCTCTTCAGTGCCTCCATCACCTAAACCAATTGTTTCAGCTCCTTCATCTTCATTACCAACTTCTCCATCAGCTCTTTCAGCTGCATCGTCTTCTTCAGTGCCACCACCATCTCCTAAAATAAAAGTAATTTCACTTCCTTCATCTTCATTACCAACTTATGCTGCCCCCAGTGCCAGAGCACTGGTAGAGCCTTCTTATCCAGCGCCAGTGGCACCACCACCTTCCCCTGTGCGTGCTGCCCCCACATCTGTCCTCATGACTGCTCGTGCTGCCTACCCAACAATATCTCCCCCAAAGGTGAAGCCTAGTACTCCGTTGTCTCCTCTAATCCTACCCCCGGCTCAAATTAAGTCTGATGTGCAACCAGAACCCCCCAAGATTCCGGCAGAAGCAGAGCAGAAAACTGTGTTGTTACAAGAAACCATTGAAAAACCTGTGGTGATGCCCAAAACCTCTTCCAATGGTGAATTCCAAAGGTATGGGGGGCGAGAAGTAAAGAAACCAGACAGTCAGACGTCCAAAGACAAAGGAGGTAAGTATAAGAAGTGGTCTTCTTCGGAATCTGAAGAGGGTGGGATGAGAATTATAACACTTGCAGGTGAAAACAAAGGTGCTATTATGGAGTTGAGCCCTTCCCAGAAGAAGTCGCATGTGATTGGGGGAAACCCTCCTCCTCATAATGTTCTTTACAAGAAAGGCAATATAGCTTTGGGCGATGATGAGAAATCAGAAGGGGGGTTGAGCAAGATGATAAATAATGAGCACAAGACATCACCACGTACACCACCACCACCACCCATGACCACCGCTTTCATGAACAGCAACGTACAGGGTGTGAATAACTCCATTCTCTTCAACTCTTCTTCCACTCACCATGATCCTGGTGTCCACCTTTCTCTCTCCAGAAAGCTCAATGGTGGCCATGGAATGCACCTCAAGGATTAACATCCATCTCGATCATCTGAGCTAGGGTATTCAATCAACCTCTGTTTTGAGTTTAATTTTAATGAAGGAAAACTACGTACTGCAGTTTTATGTAATTGGAATAAATAAATAAATAAATATATATATATATATATATATACACACACACATATGATAAAAAGGGGTATGGATTCTGATTCTGCCTTGTTGCATTCCAGCTGGCCTCATGGATTAAGGTTACTGAAGAGAAGCCACCCCTATTTATTTATTTATGTTTGATGTGATATGACCGAGTGGATTTATGTATAAATATCATGAAGTAATAAACAGTTCACGTTGCTATGCAACATTATTTGAATAATAGTAGTCAGATTGCTTGTTCTCAAAAGGTCGACCGTCGATGTACATCCATACTCAATCTGTGTAATGTGGTGAATGTGATTGATTGTTAAAAAGTGTTTGCAAATTATCCATCATTTAGTTTTTACAATATAAAGGGAATTATTTATTTTTGTGAATTATCTAGGTCATGTCAAAAGTGGAATGGTTTAATATCAAAACTCATGCATCTTAAGATGCTGTGTCATTAATTAAGAATGGTTCCTTTGTCCATTTACATGATCTAATTAATACCATTATAAATTATATGGTGAATAGATAGATGTGAGTCCTCAGGGACTAAGTTGGTGGCAGGGAGATTCAGAAGGTAAGTGTTTGAGTCTCGCTTTTGAACGGTACTCCTGACTTAAATGATACGTATATTATATAATCGATACACGTGCTTTGAAAAAAAAATTTTATTTATTTACATCTTAATTACCACAGCACCAGGTTCCAAAATCCAAATGTAAAATGTAAAGCAGCAGGCGTGCATAAAAACCACCTTTTATAATAACTTTCTCCAAATTAGTATTGCCTTGCCTTCAAATATATAATTACATATAATATAGTAAGTCGTATCACTTCCATATATGACAGGACAGCTAGTATTGTAACATCTGGGTATATGTGAACAGACAATGATTAGTTACTTACCGGTAAATAATTTCACCCTACTCATTACTTATGTGTTCTAATAACAAAATAATACATCAGCTTTAATAACAAAATTAGCAAAATAATAAAAAATAATAATAATAAAAATAAATAAATAAAGAAAGTCGGATCGACCCGTTTTAATTGTATAATCCCCTTTCTCTTTTCTCTCTCGTGTATGAATTTGGAGTTTGACTTTGCACCGGAAGTTTGGTAACAAATACTATATTTTGGTCAACTCAAAAACTATATTTTGGTCAAACTATCGCAACATTAATTAACTATTTTTTGGTAGTTTGTAAATCCATAAAAAAGTGAGAGGATGGTGTGGGTTTGGGAAACGATGGAAGAGAGAGAAAAGAAAAAGGGTGATTATCTAATTAAAACGGGTCGATTTGATTTTCTTTTTTATTATTATTATTTTTTAATTTTGTTATTAAAGTTGATATGTTATTTTATTATTAAAATACATAAGGAGTGAGTAGAGTGAAGTTACTCGCTAATGAATAACTAAACATTGTCCTTATTAATATACCTCCCAAAACAAAACCCTTCTACAAAACACAGCCTAAAGCCACTACACCAGACCAACAACAATTAGATTTGGCTGGCAACCCTCAATCAGCTCATGAACCAAAAATTAACAATGGATAAGTTCAAGAATTGCTCTCTAATTACTTACGAAAAATAAAAAGAATTGCTCTGAAATTATTCAGTGCGTTAGCTATCATTTTGATTTAGAAAAAAAACGACAATTGTAAGATAGTTTTTTTTTTCTTTCGAATAAAATCTACTAGTATTCGATCAAACAATAATGATGGACAGTCATTAAAAAGATGAAGTAGTAATGCCGAGCCTAGTGGGGGTAGCAAGCAATCTTTAAAAATGAATTAGGGTGGTCGGTCATAAATGATATTTGGTTAGTTGGTTGGTTTGTTGTTGGGCAGGTAAAGGTCATTTGTTATGCGTACCATTGCATAAATACTGGAAGTTGGAAGGCCTTCCAAGTGTAAAATTGTATAAGAAAAGGGACTATACTGATTGAGGTTTGACTGTCGGAAACAAATCTCACACAAACTCAATACTGGCGCTCGCTGCTTCACGCTCCGTCCATTGACCCCATTCTCCTTCCCTTTCTCTCTCTTGTATGCATCGATCTTCGCTTAGATTTTCACGTTCTTACATAATTTGTATCGAATCTACCATTTAATTTTACTGTCTTCTCTCTTTCTCCTTAATTTGAGCAGTTGTACTGGAAGAAATGGCTTCAGATCACAAAGTTCACTCCTTTGATGAGGTCGCAAAGCACAATAACAAAGGGGATTGCTGGCTTATAATCTCTGGCAAGGTTAGTCTTTCTTTTCTTTTTTTCTTTTTTTGTCAATTTTACTGGCATTACTTTAGATTATATTAGTTTAGCGGCACTATTTTTATAAACGTGTTGTGAAATAGTGGAACTATAGCTTGAGTTTTTTATAAAACAAAATCTGTATTAGATATTTGATTCCTTCTCGTCTAAAACCTTTTATGTAATATGTACATTCCTAAAATTAGTTTTATTTCAGAATAGATTAGTTTGAAAACGCTAATTTCTTGATAAGATTTTGTTGATGAATATGCCAATCACTTCCAAATAAAGAATCAAATATATTATTCATGTTCATAGGAGTACAAACTACAAACGGATTTCATTAAAGCAATATTTGACGACAACAATATAAATATATGTATTGAAAACATGTAACTAAAATTTGAGCAGCCCCGAAGCCATCATAGCAACGATGGTGTGGTCATTTGGATGGATTAAAGGGTTTGCAATCAAATTCTTAACTAAATCGTCATCTTCAAGCCAATCATATCAAGCATGAGGCGAAATAACCATATCTAATTCTTGCTTCTTCCTCATTCGACCAATCTATCATGGTGTTGGATAAGACACCACATGGCACTAAAGCGGGGGACAAGACTAACAAAAGGATGACGAGGTTGTTAAGCAACGGGTAAGGGTTGCAATTCGTGCTTCTATGTTGTGTTATGACATGAGTTTTCTGTTATATAGATTGACATGAAGGCCACAAAATTATTGTTCAACACGATTATTAAAAAGATACAACTCGCATAACATGTTTAATAAATGAATTAAGACCAAACACAACACAAAATGATTTTTCAATACACATTTAATTAGAACTCCATATTAGGGTCATTTTAAAGACAAACACAATAATTCTTACACATTTAGTTAAATGGTTTAATCATGTTATAGATGGGTTAGCTGGTCAAATATGAACATAACACGTTTAATTAATGTGTCAATTCAGGTCAACTTGATTAGGACACAAACATGAGAAAGCAAAACCCCATTTATCCCATACCGTGTTCAAGCTGTGCTAATGTGTTGTGTCAAGTATTGTTACCCCTAGTTACTGGTTTAGGTAAGGTGTTTGAATTTGGTGGCTTGGTGGTACAATAAGACCGACCCTATTATATAAAACATTTAACACCTACTTTGTATATATGCAATAGCCTTTTTTTCTTCATCCGTTGTACTATATGTTATACTCTCTCTCATGGATTCTCAAAGAAAACCAATTATGGATCTATTCATAAATTCATAGTCAACACCATCGCCTTTAGATTCACTCTCTCACCCTCTCTCCAGTCTACCAATACACTCATGCACACAAGCCATCATTGTCCACCGGACCACCACCATATTTAGACCCATAGACCCTACCACCGGAGAAATTATTAGATGGTCCTGGTCTATTTAACACTTGGTGGACCAGTTAAATACAAACTCTCGAATTGAGAAAATAGCCTCACAAGAGTGTATTAATAAATTACTAAGTTTCATGACCAGATGGTCTTCATTGAATTAGTCCACCAAGTTTTAAATAGACCAGGACTATCTAATAATTTCTCCGACCTCCGGGTATGCATCTAAACCGATTTAGGGTTTTCGAACTGGAATTCATATACACTACCCATCTATTAATATATAGTTGAAATTTATTTTAAATATTATATAGGTATTACATATTTTATATGAGAATAGTTGGGTTGACGATAGCAAAGTTGACGCAAAGCCGATTTGAGATCAAGAGAAATATCTTGCACACTAGAGAAAGGGCTTCGAAGTGAGTGGTTACTCAGCGTATTGAATATCAATTCCCAACCCTAGTTTGGCAAATTTGCACTATTTTTGAACTTTTGAATAAAAATCGAACAAGGAAATAGGACAAAATTTAATTGAGAAATGACTAATTGAGGGAAATAGGAACATGCTTTATGGAGATAGGGTTTAGGGGAGAAGGAGGAGGAAAGGATATGGGCAACTAGAAATAATCTATTAAAGAGAGAGCTTGGAAAGGCAGAGAGGGGGGCTATGGTGGTGGTGGATATTAGGGATATTAACATCCTCCAACTAGCTCCATGGCTAGTTGTTGTTGAGAATTAAATCCCTCCTTCATTCAACATAGTGGAAGCATCGTCACATCATCAAACAAGCATATATGGAGATAACTATCATAGACATCAAAGCACAACACAATAGTTCACCCAACTCTAGGGCTACGTTCATAGAGAGAGATTTCACTATTATGTATCAAGGAAGTGAATTTGCAACCACAGATGTCAAGCCCCCACACTCAACAGGCACATTGGACCGGTCCAATTATCTTCAATCTACAGCAACGTTGGACCGGTCCAATTATTCCAGATGCCTAACTTTAGAAAGAAATTGAGACAAAACTATAACAATCTCCACATTGGCTCAAATTCCATCTTTACACAATCCTCTATAGCTCCACCTCGACTGAACATCTCGACCTCAAACTAAAACTCTTCTTCCTTCCTTCTATTGCTTAATAATTGCTCATTTGCGTTACCCGGACTCGCCGGTGCCCGGCTGGAGTGTTCACTTCGACACGATACGGGATATAAGTCGGACCCTTCATCTTTCTACCGGACGCGGCTGACAACGAAAACACACAAAAATATGGGCAGGTTGATGCTTGTGAAGGATTAGGAATTTTTTTTTCATTTTTTATTTGTTAAATCGACAACCATTCACTGCATTTGGAATCTTTCTAGTTCAGAAATGGCGGTCAGGTTCGAGATCAGGGTTTTGAAGGTTGAAGACTTTTCTGTTTGTGTATAGGCATTGTCTTTGCGCAGTTTTATGTGCCTAAGTTGAGCGCGGTTTCACGCGATTACTTGATCATTAACCATAATTTTAATACCCTGCCTTAGATGACGCCACATCTCTATTTAAATATGAAGAGATGGAGACATTTGGCTATAAACAAAAGTGAAAAGTCTCTGTTGTAAACCATTACCTACAGCTGTGTGGTATAATGTTTTACAATTGTTACTTTACTTTTACTACTCGTAATAAATATCGTGTATCTGTGTGTATGCACATATATTATTGAGCCTTGTTTGTTCTCCCTCTCTAATTATGCTTTGACTTTGCAAATGAGGCAAACAACCGCAGTAATAAAATAAAATTTCCTATAAAAAAGTACAGCTTATATATTTATGTTTTTATTTTATTAGAAAATGATGTCTCATACATTAAAAAATAAAATCCTATAATATTTATTCTTTTAAAGTGTCCAAGTACCCATAGCTAAATATTGGGACACTTTTTAGCTGAGTCCCTGTATCCTATAAATTGATAGATTGATGAATTCGACCCTTAGACACGTACTCGTGTCTGGCACCCGAACTCAAGTCCGAGAACATAGTTGCTCACGCATGGCAACCCACCAATATACTTCCCCATTGGTGCATGATCACTCAGTCACGGTAACCCACCAATAATACTTCCACTCATCTACATCAACTGCTTTTTTGACTCAAACCAACAAACCTCTCTACCCTCTTCATACACTCCCCTTCACACTCCACTCGCTCTTTATCGGACTTAGAGCAAACCTCTACATCCACTCACAACATACTCGTCCCATCTTGAGAACTAGCACCCACTCTTTGGTTTGTCCCAAATACTTGTACCTCATGGGCTCGTGTCTTCACACCATCTATCTCGTGACATCATCAACTCTTATTAAATCTCCAAAACAACTCACGATCAACCTCAACCACTGACTATAACCAACCATCGACTCTAATACCAGTTTGTTAGGGATATTAACTCTCTCGAACCAGATCTATGGCCAGTTGAGAATTAAATCCCTCATTTATTCAACACAGCGGAAGCATCATCATCACACCAACATATATGGAGATAACAATCATACAATCAACGCACAATACAATATATTTCATGGTTCACCCAACTGTAGGGCTACGTTTATGGAGAAAGAGATTTCACTATTATGTATCAAGGAAGAGAATATACAACCAAAGATGTCAAAATCCCACACACTCTTCCATTCACACTTTTCTTCTCAGTCCACATCCCCGGGAATTACATATACTCTCCCATCTCCTTATAACATTCACCCTTTCAATCCCTTACATCTTTCCCCTCTCTCTCAATCCCATCTCTATTTACAGAGTTTTCAAACCCAATTCCTTGTTGGGCAAGAATTCCACAACTTGCCTACCAAAGAGTTACCATATCAATTTCGAACTCTAAAAATAACAGTCTAATAAGTCACAACTTCCTTCCCAAATCTTTAGCCTTGTTCCACAATTCTTCAGGCTTCCAAAACAGAATAAGAAATTGTCTCCCGCACATTGGACGAGTCCAATTCCACCAGAACCTTGATCTTCAATCTACAACCACGTTGGAGTGGTGCGCATAAGTTGGACCGGTCCAATTCTTCCATAACCCGAACTTTAGACGGCATTTGGGACACAGTGTGTGTGTGTGTGTGTGTGTGTGTGTGAGAGAGAGAGAGAGAGAGAGAGGAAGGGCTATGGTGGAGTTGGCGGCGGTGGAGAGAGAGAGTGAACAAAGAGAGTTTAAGAGGGGTAAATTGGTTATTTCGTAATGTGTTGCTTACATCAGGGATAAGGTATTAAATTGATACAATAAAAGCATTTGGTATTTCCTAAAATCCTTAATGGACGTTTGGACTGTTAATTCCTAATTCTTATAGGGATGTCTGATTGATTTTCAAGAAACTTTAAACCCAGGATGATTTTTCCTAAACCTGACTGGAGGTCAGGGTAATTTATCAAAGAATTATGGATTATGTGGCAACTCATATTCAGATTTCAGAGGCAAATCAGGCAGAATTTTTTTGGCATACTTGATGTTCTCATTTTAGAATAGAAGTTTTGGACAAAATCACTTTCAAAAGAGATTACTAGTATCATTAGCTCGGAATCAAGATGTGGCGCTTTGGCCACCTGATGTATTGTTTCCATGGTCATTTGTTAGATTCTGACTTGCATAATTGTATCACAATTATCAGCATACATTGTAAGAATAAATGTTAGTTTGTAGAGACAAGTGAGAACAAAGATGGGAACACCTGTAAGCTAGTGGGATATGGAATGTGATGCTAGAAATTTTGTTAAGAAACATAGGTGAAATCCTTTCTTCTAATGCTAGGTAGAACTTGAAAAGTAGATCAGAATGAAAGCCTTTTCACTAGGCAACTCTGGTGGTACATTGTTTTCCCTATTAATGCATCACTTTATTTATGCGTATATCTTAAACCTCTGTATTAGGTCTATGATGTGACAACATTTTTGGATGATCATCCTGGTGGTGACGAGGTCTTGCTAACATCAACTGGTAAGATTGTGATATCTGAGTTTACCATTAATTAATAGCATTCGCTACATATGATATTACTGCCTCACCACCTCATGAAATCGGGAATGCAGCCACTGATATTAGACATTGACTAAATCTGTGTAAAATTTTGCAGAGAAAGATGCAACGGATGACTTTGAAGATGTGGGCCACAGTGATGATGCAAGACAGATGATGAACAAATACTACATTGGCGAGGTTGACAGCTCCACTCTTCCAGTAAAAGGCCAGAATATACCACCTTTAAGGGAACCCTTGGCATCCGACACAAGTTCTGGAGCTTTGTCCAAGATATTACAATTCTTGGTACCTCTATTGATCTTGGGTTTAGCATTTGCTCTGCGGCAATATACTAAAAAAGATTAGGTATATATATGTGGATTTGTGCATTGAGCCAAGGGACTACCGTATTAAAAAACCCATCCTTGTGTTGCTTAGTATTTACTTGAGGTGTGGTAAAATAATTGGAAATTGGTACTGTGTGTTACTATTAGAATTTGTTCTGTTATTATTGCTTATTGTTATGAACTTGTAATTGAGCATCCTTCTGTATGGATTCTCAAACTTACTACTCTATGATGTTGTTTTTGTGAGTTGTACGCAGCGGATTTATATCTCACAGTTTTTGGTAGTGGTAGTGGGGGGAGGGCAGAAGTCAAATTCAGTGCCATGACATTAGTCACTTGCAAGTTGAGGCGGAGTGATTTTGATTCTTCTGGCATTCGAACTTTGAACCTCCATTGCCAGAAAGACGACAAATATATATATAAATGTTCTATGCTTTGAAACAAGTTTCGTTGAATTTAGTGGTTCTCCATTTTTAAGATGATGAAATAAGAGTAAGTGGCAACGAAAGCGCCATACTACCACTACCGTTAACTAAATCTGGATTTGCCTCCATTGGTTGCCCAATTAGAGCCATCTACAAACTCATTGGGTTCGATGACCAGTCACTACCACTACCACTACCACTACCACTACCACCCATTGCTGCTTGCTTCCCATTGCTGCTTCTGCTTCTGCTTGTGTCCTCCTAATTGCCTCTCTGATAGGAACGTTGTCCACGTAATAAACTATCTGATTCTCGGTCCACAGAAATCATGGGATGGATCAAACCACAGCGCGTATCTCTCTTCTCTCCCAGTGTGAGTGCTTCCATTGCCATAAAAATTGGTCTGCAACGACCAGTGTTGGCCTCTGATGTGACCCAAGAACTCAAAATCGATCTTGTCGTGATTGCCCGGAAATCTTTGATTGTTGGCAGTATAAAAGGTAACCACCACACCTGCTGTGTACGTAGTCCAGTTGGGGCAGTTTAATGGCAGCACTGAAGAAGCCATGCGTATGAGGCTCCTTAGAATGGAAGCCAGAACTGGAACTTTGGTCCATGGAGATGCTCACCCATTTACCACCACCACCACTATCGCCAGAGCCAGAGGGTATCATCACTATGTTTTGCTCTCCATACAGTGGGAAGAAAACTAATCGAATGACATGCTCGATACTGCATCTCTCACTCTCATATCAGTCCACCCACAACCAAAACAAACACACAGCACCAAACCAACACAAACCCTACATAACAACCCCAATCCCCCCTCTTCATCATCTTTAATTTCTAATCAATTACTAGTTTCTTTTGCATTTCTCATAAACACACACACACACACATATATGTAGTTTGTCCATCACTGTGAAATGCTTCCTTCCTTCGTATCAGTTAATCTTGACCAAGTCCATAAAGGGAGATTTCCAAATATTATTGATAGCTAGGCGTTCCTTATTCAACTGTCATTTAATTATATCGCTGTATACAACTTTCTTTCCAAATTCCATCCAGCGGATCGTGATAGCGACACTAAAGATTGTATAATTGAGTATTAACTACTCTTTTCCTTTTTAAAATTTAATATTCATTGCTATTATTATTATTATTATGTCAAATCTATGAAACTTAATCGTCAAACAGGATTTGAATTCTATGAATACAAAGTAATTTTAAATCACCTTATATAGCTCCACCTAAATTAAAGTGACAACTATGGATGTTATATATTCAACTAAATTGAATTCCATGCCGTCAATAAAACTTAATCCAACAGAGAGGCTGTCTATATATCTTGATCCAATAGATCGGGGCGTTTTTGTTTGGTACAATTTTTAAAAGTAACTTTTAATAATTTTTTTAGTGTACCAATAAAATTAATAATTAAATGCAGTAAGTTGACCTTTCGCAGATGTATTTTCTACCATCGTTGCTCATAAAAGTAAAATTTACAATATATATATATATATTTATACTCTGATTTAACTCAAATGAAAATGTACAATGAATATCTCTATATATTAAATAATATAGTATATCTTGTAAATGTCTTTTTATGTCAGATATCTGCTATAACACTTCCACTAAAGGGTAAAAAACCACGCTTGCTGAATACCACACGATAAGCTTTGATAGAATACAAGAAGAACGAACGATACAAAAAGATCCTTAACGTTGGGGGATGAGCTTCGACTACAAGAATTCAATATCGAACCCAACAACCCAACATGCAGGAATGTGCAGGGCCTACAACAGCCCAACAACAGTACAACTCAAATTCAAAGAATATTAGACGTAACAACGTAAGCTTAGTTATAAAATTACAATCGGAGCCCAAATCATTCAGACCCAACAACAACAGCTGTAGAGCCCAAGTCATTGCAAATTAATTTCCAACTAACTATATATCATTGCATTTTGATATAACAGTCATGGAACCAAGTCAACAACTGCAAAAACCATATCTAAAGAAGAGAGGAAAAGGTTAAAAAACAAGTTTTAAGACTCGTTATCCCTTTTCATCGTCAATAATCAATCATTTTGGATGTTTAGATTAAACAAACACAGTTTGAAAAGCTGGATGAAATTAAAATTTTTGAATACTTTCTATATATAATTTTGGACCATGAGCTCAACCCAAAACAGATTTACAATCTGCAAAGAGTATAAGCATGGAGAAAAAAAAAAATTAATTAATTTTAAATATGCCTAATCCCAACTGACTCAACTGCTACTTTTCATTTGTACACATTTTTTTTCCCCACTCTGATGGAAAAAAGAAAAAAACGAAATCCTTAAAGTCCTTTAAATGTCATGAATTTTTAAACCGAATGGTCATGCACCATTTCATCAATCGATAAAAAGAACCTACTATTGTCTTGTATGTGAGCTGCGAATGGTCACGCCATGCAAAAATTTGGTATACCCAAGTAAACTGAGCTTTCCATCAGAGCTTCGGATCCAATCTTTGAGTATTGAATGAGCTGTTGGGCCCACGTTCAGTTCCTGAATTGATGGAGTACAACATTAACAGAAAGAAATAAAACAGAACTCCAAAAATGATGTGTTTGAACTTTAAAGTCAGTTAGTAAATACCCGAGCCAATTCCTCCACTGAGATCACTCTGTTACCCTCCTGTTCAAAAAGCTCAAATGCTGTAGATGCAATCTGCTCCCATCTTTCAAGAGCCTCCAGTTGATATGTGCTGATTGCAGCTGCACAGAACTCTTCAAAGTCCATCTTCCGATAGGACAGTGGCGCCATCTACAATAAAAGACAAGCACCAGAGTCGGGAAAAGCAATGTTAATTTTAAACTTGAAAAAAGAAGAAGAAAATAATTCAGCGTAATATTCGGGATTCACAAGACAAAAAGCACTAATAGAAATGGAATATGATAAAAAGTCTATAGATTATTTGATTGCTGCAGATAACCCTGGACATGTTCCAACTAATACGAAGTACCTACCTGAAGTTGTAGTTAAGTAACAGGTATTAATTTAGCTTAAAGATTGTTTATCATTAAACAAACATATTACCAAGCAAGAAAATCAAGCAAAAATGGTTATTTCGCAAGGAACTACACATTTTATAAGCATTTAAACATGTAAAAATATCATAAACACTAGAATAAATATCAGATACAATGATCATATACTTTTTCATTGAGCAATAATGATCCCAAAGTCCTCACCACATTGAGAATATCAGGAATCCTTGACTCCTTCATTGCATCAGTTGCATTTCGCACAAGAGCCTGCAAATTTGTTTTCAGTTCTCGTTTGACCATAACTTTGACTTTATAGGAAGGAATGAGGATGAGAAAACTGGCTAACACAGAACATAATTTCTATTATCACATGACCATGTCATCTCCATAATTAGAACAATCATTCCCTGAAATCATTATCAACTTCAATTTAAGGATCAAATAGAAAGAAAGGGAAGTAAATAACCATTTTGAAATTATCAAGCGAGACACGTCCATCTTTGTTAGGTTCCAAAAGCATAAACTGAGCTCTAAGATAAACCAACTCATCCTCTGTTAAAGCTTTTGAGAGAGCCTGCATTCGAAGAACAAACAACAATAACAAAAATTATAACCAAAACCAGAATCTTTCAATCAGTCATAATAATAGCATGAAATAATTTTACGGGTATGACTATTTTCAAGCCATCTAATTGAGGCATTCAACATATAAAGCGATCCACAAACTCAGCAAGACAGATAAGCTGAGTCTGTTTTCAAGCAGCTGTTCTCCAGCTTCATGGTCAAAGGATGATGGGTGGAGAGTAGATGGTCAGAATATTCCACTGGATGGGTGTAAGCCCATTTCTAATTCGTTTTCAAAATAAGGAAGGCTTTCATTCAAGGCAGTTGATGGATGAAGATAAATGGGACTCGATTGAATGTATCAATATAAATATCCTTTCTATCAACTGAAGTTTCGCCGTAAAAATGAAATGGCAATAACTCATCTAAGTATCATGACTTGTACTTACCATTCAAAATAAACAGAGACTCCAGTAATACTAATGCTTTAACTGATAAACTCAACGTGACAAGGATGATACACAGAATGCAAAAAAATCAATAACCATGGCTAAAGTGATACAAAGTATAATTACAATTCCCTTACAAAAGGAAAGTAAAATGTATATTTATGATATAATACTCAGTTAATGCTTCCAGTGAAAATTTAATCAGGAAAAAGATGATGGTGCAATTGTTGAAGACAACAAGTGGTACCTTTAATGCTGCACGTTTGAAAGGAGTAGCATGAAGGTATGACTTTACTAACTTATAAACCAATATATCTAAAGGGATAGGTTGGTTTTCACTCCGCAGCCATGGGTGCACTGCAATCACAAAAAGGGAATCACAAATTAATTAAATAAGAAACATTAATTATCATTATTAATGCCTAAAAAACGAATTCTGCGCTTTAAGTATACAAGGGAAAGCAGTGTACCAGTATCATTTTCGATTTTTCAACAGTATTAAATGTTTTTTTTTTTTTTGCTGGGGGGTGTTTAAGTAATGGCATTTAAACCAAGGGAAAAAAGAAACAACCAAATAACTCTACCAAAAAGTCCCAGGGGAAAAGGAGTATTCTCGCAATCTATTGTGATAAAACGTTAATGGTCCATGCCAATAGCTTCACCAAATTTGAGTGAAACATTTCATATAGAAAACTATTCAAGAAAAAACTGAATTGCACCTAAGGTCTAACAGTTGGCCAGATATCCAGGTTATATTCAGACAACTACTACTAGAGCTTGTGACTTACTCAGAGCTTGAGCAGCAGTCATCCTTTTCCTGTAATCCTTGTTCAAAAGCCTTTTAACGAAGTCCTTTGCTTCTAATGACACAGAAGGCCAAGGTAAATCATCAAAGTTCGGGTCAGCTCTTAGAACCGCACGAAAAATACCAGATTCTGTTCTTGCCCAGAATGGTCTACTTCCACATAACAAAATATAGGTGATAACACCTATGCTCCAAATATCTGCTTCCAGACTGTAACATCTATGGAGGACTTCTGGTGCCACATAGTATGCACTTCCAACAATATCATTAAGTCTTTCATCTGCATAAACATGCATTTGAAAGATAAAATACAAATGAGATAACAAACTAAGGATGCTCAACTCTGATCCATGGACTTGTGAGTTACTACTGTTTTTTGCTGCATGAGCCCAACGGAAATAGGACCATTTCATGTTAAAAACAACTCTATCCATTTGACAGAAGTCTGGGTGAGCACTGCTCATTAAAATAAATCAATTTAAAAAGGAAACATAAAACATGAGAATGTCAGAAATATAATATTAAGTTTGTTAATTTGATTCGACGGGCGAGCAGGGGAAAAGGAAGGGGGGATGTATTGAGAATTAAGCTTAAAGTAAGCTAATAAGTAAACAAGCTAATGCATATGATTAACTAGTAAGCAAACAAACTCAATTTTATTAGAGCTGTGATATTAAGGCATCGTGCATATATATAGCATGCTAGCACCATAAACCAAAATCTAAAGAAAAGACGAAAAGTAAAATAATGCCACCGAGCTTTTAGAGCATGTGACGGAGTATTTTGCATTGACAGAGATAGGGATGAACTGACCCTGGTATGAATATCTAATGAACAAACCCAGTAGGATATGACTATTACCTGGTCTGATAAAGTCCGAAAGACCAAAATCAATAAGTTTCATATCAGCATCTTCATTTCTAGAGGTGAAAAGGAAATTCTGTAATGAAAGCAATTGGATAGAGGAATTAACAATGAAGAAAACAAAGGATGAGGGAATATTTATAGAATAGAAAAGGGAAAACAATTTTTATTAGGAAATTCAAAAAGATAATTTGTTCTAATAAAGCCAAAGAACTAAGACATCAAGTTCAAGAAGCAATAACCTCAGGCTTTAAGTCACGGTGCACAACTCCTTGAAGATGACAAAATGCAACCACACTTAAAATTTGCACAACAATAAGTTTAGCATCATCTTCTGTGTATCTTCCACCTCTGCAGCAAAGCAAAAGCATGTAACAAATTTCAAACTTTAAACTATATATATATATATATATATGCAAGTATGATATTTCAGAAGAAATTTTAGTTTTACGGCTTACCTTGACAATATTCTGTCAAGTAGTTCTCCACCTTCACACAATCTGATCAGAAAACAGAAAAAGAGCTTCATCATAACAAAAATCAAGAAAGAAATGTGACTTGATATGGTGCTACGAGGAGAAGCTTAAATGTTTTACAAATAACCCAAATCTAAATTAAAAGCTTACAGATGCATTTACAAATCAGACCACAGGAACTGAAACTACATTCTTTGTCACAAGGAAGGTTTGAAGTTTGTCAGTATATGCCTCTTATTACATGGACTCTGCTGCTCCTTCCAAGTTACTAGTGTCAGCATGACACTGCTGGAGTATGGATATGGGAAGTCTCAGGTACATAAACCAAAATTGTATATGCTGATCCTCTACATATCATATAATGATATAAGAAGAAAAATCTAAAATTTGATAGGAGACAACATTTCGGACTTTTCACATAGAGAGAGAGAGAGAGATGGGACTTTTCACATACTTCATGATAGTATACGGCATATAATATTTTAAATTATGCTCATGTCTACGCATCCATACCCAACTTTTGGAAACATCTCGAGCCGAATCCCTGGATCATGAGATTTGTAGTTCAAAGAGGTAAAACAATTAGACACACCCCCACCTAGCAGAAGTAACCCAGTCCATGTAACTTAGGTATACACATTGAACTTAGGAATACACATTACAAACAAAGAACGAGAAAATAAATTTTGTTTGCAATGCTGAACCACATTTTTTGTAACCTCATTTGATACAAAGTTGAATAGAGACAAGGAAAGACGTACTCCATGACTATGTAAACGTTATTGGTATCCTCACAAGCATCGTAAAATTTGACCAGATGCTTATGCCCTGATAAAGCCTTCAATATTTTCACTTCTCTACGAACGTCTTCGATTGATATCGCGGTTGTCATCTGCAAAGCAAAGCCACTTGTTGAGATAGAGATACTGTCCATAACAGAATATAACATAAAGCAGACATCAAGATTATAATGCACAGAAGTTAACAATAAACTTGAACATTTGACAGAATTCTACTTGTGTAGATATTCAGTAGTAATGCACTTTCTCCCTCTTTCTAGTTCAAAATTTAACTCTACGAAAGAGCATGAAGTTCAATACTATCTAGGAAAGTTCTATTGACATTTATTTTCTAAAAAATATGGGACCACAACAACTTAACCATGTTATGACTGAAACAACGCCAAATGCCAAATAGGAAAAACAAAAAAGCCTTGCCAAATTGCTGTTATATCATACTTAAAAGTGTAAACTGAAGGTTTCTTCACCATTGTCCTGTTTACGCTCATCAGAATATATATATATATATATATATAAGTAGACTTCATATAACAAGGTAAACATTACCTACCAAAAAAAACAACGCTAATGTTTTAACTGCATTTTATGGATCGCTGAGAAACAACTTATGGATGCTTGATTTAGTTATTTAATACTTGCTGCTGCTGTTGTCATTGCTGTTGTACTAATTAATAGACTTCATAAAGTACAACTTGTAGTGATACAAGGGAATCTCTAGTACTTTCTTAACTTGGCCAATAACAAAAATTCTCTGCCTAATAGATGTTGCATTCAATGAGTGGAGAAAGAATGAAGACCAAGATCTATGAGTGCAACTATTGGAAAAGAAATGACAGCATTGACTGAAAACGCAAAAGAATGGACACTTCCAAAAAGGTGTTACGCCCCGTTTCAGGCACATATCAAGTGCTCATGTCAGGCACGTATCAGACACAGACACTTCTGGACAAATATATGGAACATCTTGTATATGTCCGTAATTTAAAAATAAAATTCTTATTTTTCGACACTTTGACAGCATTTCTTAATCATGCACTAACTACACTAATCAATCTTGAACATTAGATAAAACTTTCTTTAGCATCGAAGAAAGTGTAGTTATAAGAAAAACTTAATTAAATGTTTATATAATCTATAAAAAGTTTGGAAAATTAAAGATATAGGAATATTTTATTAAAAGAAAGGATATGAAAGTAGTAGATATTTTACTAAATTATGTATTTCATAAAATTGTACACGTATATATTTACATATGCACATAAATACACACATATAGATATATTTCGTGTCTTGTTTTGCCTTGTGCAATAGGTGTAATTGTATATGATGTATACGTTAAATTTCATGCTACATTCATAAAATATTTATAATCGTATATAATATAATTTTAATATAAAACAAACTTTCACTTTCCACTCTCTTACAAGACTGCTACCGTTGGAAATTCCTTGTTATTTTATTGTCATGTCCCCGTCGCTTCCATGTCCCCTTTTTTTTTTAAAGAATTATATGTTCAATATTTCATGTCATGCTGTATCTGTGCTCCATGCCCGTATAATTTAGGTTTCTTAACGTTCGCAATACTTTTGCACCGCATAATGATTTAGCTCTGTCATCTCAGATTAGGGCGGCCTTAAGTTCCAATAACTTAGTTAATCCATTTCCATTCTTCATCTAAAACCATGTCCTAAATAATTGTAGGCCAATGTGATTGCATCACAGCCGCAAACCATATTCTGATCTACCTTCCTTTCCTTCCAATTTTTCATTGCACGAAAATATAAGATCTAATTTTCAACCTTTAAAGATATGAAAAACTTAACACTAAAATTTACGTTACTTAATAAACGTGCAAGGCACGAAAAAGCCATAGCATCAGCTAATTCTCTTGGCTGAAAGTGCTAATTCTCTTGCATCAAAATATCTATTTGACACCCCTTTCTCTTTATACATCCATGAATATTCTCTAGCTATCTCTAAGGAACCGGTCATATGCTTTTCAAGTCAAAATGCCACTGAACCTCATCCTTGTTCTCTCTAAACCTTTCCACCAGCACATGACAAACTGCTTCATCAATTTTTTGGTATGACTTATAAGTTTGACACCACAATAACTGGTGCAACTATAATGCGACATTTGTCGTCTACAAATACTGGAGTGGCTTTCCTCCATTTGTTAATAATTTGTATAGAAACAATTATAATGTTACACAAGTGTCAGTAGTATTCAATATTATTTTATTAAACAAACAATAAAAACAAGTTAGTAGCAAATCAGTCTTCATCTTGCATACTTTATAAAATGAAACTATATAAAGCAATAATATTATAATATAAGCATGTATATCTCTAGATGCCACAAATTCACCAATAATTAAAATATCCATGGCAGTTACACAATGCCACTGATTTTTTATTTTTTTTTATTTTTTTTGACAAGTACAACGTGTCACTCATTTGGTACACAAGTGCTGCGAAATCAGTCAAAATTTTTATACTTTAGCAATTTGCTAAGTATAAACTATGAAATGAATAAAAGCTTTCCTGCCAAATTATACAAAGAACAATATTAAACAAAAAAGAAGCTGACATTTCAAAGTCAAGCATGAGGTGGCACAAATCTGGCAAGATCATATGATGCAAAAATAGCAATATATATATTTAAAAATATAACCTACAAAGCCATAACCAAGTGTTGGTCCAGCTAATACAGGATGCTGGAAGAGATGCCGGTATATAGATTTAACCCTCAACATTATTTGCAGAAAGGGTTTACTCTCATACTCAATCAAGCACTTAGTTTTAGTAGATGAGGTCTTACATTGCACCAAGAAATGACATTTGATGGAATGCTTCTTATACTTTCCTTACCTTTTCCACATTATATGAGTATTCTTGTAAGACATTATAGACAACATAAAAACTATATTACCCATATAATATAGAAAGACATAAGGGGAAAAAAAAACAAAAACCATTAAAAAATTGTCTACATACAAATAATTTTACCCCTATCATATAGAAAGATGGAAAGAAAAAAAAAATACAAAAATTAAAACAATGCCTAACATGCATACAACAGTCATTCTAACATTGGAATAGGGAATAGGTTCAACCGCAATAGCCAATTCGAAACATTTGCAATCTAATGAATGCAAGTGCGTAACGAGTGTTACGTGGCAGTATTGGCCATTAAAGTCGTGAATTTTTCTCAACCTGTATACCTCACCCCAAAACATAACAACGCATACTTTTAACCCCATAATCCAATAATATAGGTTTCTAACAATTTTTTGTGGACTTTTTGAATATTCAAAGGTGATTTAATATGATATCAACAATACTAAATAAATATAATTATTGTAAAGGGGAAAATAAAAATTAATAAAACATAAAATTTATATAAACTAATTAAAACTATAGGAAAAAAAAAAAAAAAACTAAATACGGGCTGATCTTAATACCCATGATGAATTTTGAGAATGATGCAATAAACTGAGTCTTGTTGCGCTGAATATATGCAACAAATGTTAATGACACATGCACTTTAACCATTTTTGTCGTTTTAATCAGTTCGACATTCAGGCAAGTCAAATACACTTTGACATGGTCGTTGGTACGTCGCAATCCAAATTTGTCCATATCTTCATGTCGGATAAATGATATTCTTATCCGACGCTTGTAACCATGCATGCATTGTGCAAAAGGGAATTTTTGTATACGTAAAATTAGAATTAACAGTATCTTTCCGCTTTCTTAAAATAAAGAAAGGGTTATGGAGAGGCAATTTTTTGAAGGAGAAGAAAGATAAAGAACTGAATGGACTATTTACGCCTACTTGAGGCACAAATCTTGATAAGATGCATATGGAATGACCTAAGAAGAACTCAAAGCCTGAAGACATGGTACACTCAGTAGAATTATGTTGAAAAATATTTAATTACGAAAAAGAAATTGGAGTGCTATGAATGAAGATGAAAGTTTCCTAGAAAATATAAATATAGAGTGTAATCTTCGAAGTTCGTTAATGCATTGTAATCTATATATACCAATAAGATGTCAACTATTTATTAGTTATAAGTTTTCTGATCTTTATTAAGGTTTAATTGAGAATATTTCAATTAAATGGATAACTTGTTTTTTATGTAATTTCTTATATGTTTGCAGATCAATTTCCCCCAGTCCTCTCATTAGTTTTAACACTGCCTTTACTATTAAACAAACTGAAAGAAATTGTCAACATTTAGAAATTTGGATATGGTGGATGAAATCTTTTAAATGAGTTAGATATCCAGTTCGTATATTCTCATTGAGGTTATTGTCTTTATATATATATATATATTATTTTCATTATTTCGTGTGGGAGTTAAAAACTATGTCTTCCCATAAACAACATTATGTGAATTCAAGCCGCTAACCCAAATCAGAGGAAAGCACAGCCAGTGAGACAACAAATTCAGCTCAAAATCTACAATGAAGCTGCAAAATCCACTTGATCAAACTGCAAATGGAGCAAGAATGAGTAGCATATGTAACATTGAGTCAATCAGTACCTTCGAGTGTTGAAAATCAGGATATTTCCAAAGACTAAAAGGCTTTTGAATATATATATATATATATATATATATATATTTGGGTGGGGTGTGGGGATGGGAGGGGGAAGGTAAAGGAAAAAACGAACCTTGGATTTGGAGATGATCTTCACAGCAACAGGTTGATCTCTGAGGTCTCCCTTTCTGCCCTTGGCATAGCACGTATGACCAAAATGCCCCCGGCCTACCTCCTTCCCCAATTCATACTTGGCACCGAAATTCTTATTGTAACCGAAGTTCTTATCAAGGGAATGATCAGACTCTGTAGCACCGTCCTCGGGAATTGGGCCCTCCCGGGGCTTCGCCTGGCCAAACCGCCTAGCCAAAGAAGCCTTGATGTGCTTGGCCGGCGAAGGAGGTGGGAACGGGCGCTTGAAGAATTTTCGCGGCGTGGATCTGGCCGGAGACGGAGACACTCCGACCGGAAGCGGACTAGCAGCGCCATGAGGGTAGGGACTGGGCCATGGACTGGTTGCCGAAGATCGAGCTGGTGTGTTTTTGACTGACCTAACAGAGCCGTTGTTAGCCGAGGAGCGTGCTGGGGTGGACGGTGGTCGATCGGCAGCGGCACTGGCGGCGGTGGTGATAGTGGTTCCGTCGTTATCGCCAGTGGGAATGGTCTTACCGTAGCACTGGCCCATGGCCTCTCCCGCAGTGATCGCGACCTGGTCAAAATTCAGAGTCGAAGCATCTGAAGGTCGAAACCAATCCCCAAACAGATCTGAAGATCAACTAAAGTTTGGGTGAGATAGGTGAAAAAATATATAAAATAAAATATAAAAAATAAAATAAAAATAATTTGAGGAGAGAGACAGAAGAGATCTACGGCGAGAAAACGATAAAAGAAGAGAATGAAAAGAATCGAGTCAGATAGATAGACTGTAGAAGAGAGATGTTATGTATATAGTATATATATATACTATTATAGTATGTAGTCCAAAAAAAGGAAGAATACAAGAGGAAAATCTGAAGATGTTGAAATTGCAGAATCCCTATGTAGAAAGCGCGGGACTTTCCTTTGGCTGGAGATAGTTACGATGCATCTGCTGCAATCACATTTTCATTTTCAGATCAACAAAACACCCTAAAAATTTTACCTTCTTATTAAGCTAAGCTAGTATTTAGTTTAATTTAAAAGCAGCTTAAATTACTTTATCTTACAGAAATAGAAGAGTGACTCTACTACTCGGTTGCTTCTTGCTATCAACTGTTAAACCATCCCCACGCGATGATGCGCCATTCCTTACCTAGGGCGTTTACGGTACTTTAAAGATGGTTATTAATCCTAAAATAAATCCCACTGTTACTGTTACCGGCCGAGAGACTCAGAGCTGACCAAACCGGAAACAGGCTGTGTCTGTTCCAGTTACTAGGGACAGTTCAAAGATAGAACTTTATAATCCTGTGTCTGTGTGTCTCACTTTCTTAGCCTTCAAATGTTATCTCAGTAATTGCTGATTTATGATGAATGGCATAGATGATGCCACTTCTAGTGCTAGCCTTTTTGTCAATGGTTAAATATATTATACATATATGTGTATATGTTTTTTTTTTTTTTTTTTTTTTTTTTTTTTTTCGTTTTTCCTAATAGCATTGCTAGAGTAATTTAAAGCCCTTAATCTATTGTTTGGACTGCAATGCTAGTGCGAATTTCTTCTACTCAAGTGGTTGAAATGGGTAGAAAAACAGGACTGTTCCGTTGCCACATCCTATTGGCATAAATTGGGTCTATCCATTCGGTTGGTATGGCACTTCCATAATTAAAGTGATTCTTGAATATATAAATATATATATATAATGGTTTTGTAATCACGATAAAACAAGGTAAATTATACTAATGTTATTACTATTATTAAGAGGCCTTCTTTTTCTTTTTCTTTTTCTTTTTTTTTTTTTTTCTCTTTAAGATTAATTTCATAAAACTTCCACGAGTAATTTTAATCATAAACTTCTAACTTATTTCAAAAAATCATTTACACATTAAAAAATGATCACATTACTCTAATATCCATACCCGACCCATTAACCCGGCTATGAAATAACAAATTTGACCTTACTATTTAATGTTAAATTTAAAATTAAAAATTACAAAAATACCCTTATCTTCTTCATCACCCCCCTCACTAAGGCTATGTTTGGTACAGTGGGAATGAAGAGAAAGAATAACATTAGTTATAAGGGAAAAGGAAGTGAAGGATAATTTTAATCCTCAATCGTTATAAGGCTTTCTTTTTTTTTTTTTTCTTTAGGATTAATTCCATAAAACTTCCACGACTAATTTTAATCATAAACTTCTAACTTATTTCAAAAAATCCTTTACACATTAAAAAATGATCACATTACTCTAATATCCATACCCGACCCATTAACCCGGTTATGAAATAACAAATTTGACCTTACTATTTAATGTTAAATTTAAAATTATTTTTTAAAAAATTACAAAAATACCCTTATTTCTTCATCACCCCTCTCACTAAAACTATGTTTGGTACGATGGGAATGAAGAGAAAGAATAACATTAATTATAAGGGAAAGGGAAGGGAATGATAATTTTAACCCTCAATCGTATTTGATTGATTAATGAAGGAAAAGAAAGGAAATGAAACTATTTATATAAATTTATTATTATACCCTTTTATATATTAAAAAAATAAATTGATAAAAATATATATATTTTTAGGGCAAATCATTTCAGCCTCCGCCTCCATCTCTATTCTCGTTCTCAACTCTGCACTTGCCCTCTGTCTCTCTTTGTGCAACTACAAACTACAAAATCTACATGTCAAATTGTTCAAAAAATCAAAACTCATATTGGCATATCATTTCAGATTGTTCAAAAAATCAAAACCCGTATCTTTCAGTTTCCATCGCCCGCTGTTCCAGTTCCCATCGCCCGCTGTTCCAGTTCGGGTTCACCATTCGCAAGCTTCAGCCGCTGTCTCTCAACTCTCCAAGCTTGCCCCCCCTCTCGCTGTAACTGCTAACTTGTATGTGTGGGTTTTGTTTTAAATTTTTTTTTTCTAAATCAACTAATCAAGGTCTGTAATTCTTATTTTGCAAACTAAATCCTAAAATCAAGTGTAATATTAATTTTGTGTAAATGTAAATTTGGTATCAGAACGAATTCATCAACCCTAGCCTTCCCTTTCCTTCCATTTCCTCCCATTTTTGGGAGGTTAAGAAAATTACTAATCATGACTTGAGTTATCTTTCCAAAACCATCCATCACTAGGGATGGCAACGGGGGCGGGTTTGGGCGGGTGTACCCTCCCCCGCTCCCGCAACCGTTTAAAAACCCCGCCCCTTTTCCCATCCAAAACAGCAAAAACGGGAGAACTTTCCACCCTATCCCCGTAACCGTTTAACATTTTTACCCCCGCGAGTACCCGCCCCGCCCCGTTTAAGACTATAATTTAATTATTGTTGAAATGGATTTACTCTTTTTTTTTCCCCCTCATCTTCAATTCTTCACCATTGCAACTTTCTTTTAATAAAATTCATTTGTTACTTTAATATTGCTATATAGGGTACTTAATATATAGTGGAAAATATATATACTAATTAAATAAGGTTACTTAAGTAATTTGCCTATCTAAATGGAGTGGGGCGGGGCGACCTCCCCCTACCCCCGTACCAAACCCGCGTGGGTTTTTATTGCATCAAACCATCCCTGCCCAAATAAGCAAAACGGTCCCCCAAAACTGCCAAAAACGAAGCGGGATGAAGTAGGTAACCGCAGGGAGCGGGTCAAATTGCCATCCCTATCCATCACCTTCCCTTTCCTTCATACATTTATGTCAAACACAATTTTTTAATCACCTTCCCTTTCCTCCTCCCTTTTCCATTACACCAAACTGACCCTAAGGCTTCGTTTGAATACACAGGAGATAAAAAAAAAAGGAAGGGATTATAAGAGAAAAGAAAAGAAAACAAAAGAAAGGAAATGATAGCTCTAATTTATATTCATGTTTGGATAGATAGAAGAGAAAAAAAAGGAATTGGCAATATTGTTGTTTGGATAACACAAAGGTGAGAAAATAAAGGAATTGGCAATAATGAAATTACCATATTACCCTTAGAGAAAAAACAAGAGTTGGGTGAGAGAAAATCATACACTACTATATATGTGTATATATATTTATAGAAAGAGAGAGTCATAAACAGAGAAAGATAAATCCACACAATAGGAATTTTTTCTCTGTTTTGATCTCATCTTCATCGAGCTATAGCTTTCTATGTAGCTCAATTTGGTATTAAATTAGACCTGTTTTTGACTTTCTGGCCAAAGTTGACTCAAGATAAGAATGAGTTTCATTGTAGTTTAGTTATTAATTTGGTTAAACAAAAGAAGTAAACAATGTCTTTGATGAGCAGAGAAATAGATTCAACTTCAAGGATTTTTTTTATCTCAAAAATTGACTCTTTTTGTTTTGTTTTGGATGCGTCTGTGATGGGATGCTCTTCATTGACAGGTATTTTTTTCCCCTTCTTCTGGCTCATTGATTGTTCAATTTGATGACATGGGTGTCTTAAATTTCTTAAATTTTGTTATTTTTTAGTGAATTTTGGAAATGGGTTTTGGTTTTGGTGGTCACCCGAAGCCTCCTCAAAAACCCTAACCCCCATCTCTTCTCTCCCTTCTGTTTAACCCCATCACCACCGCAAGCCACACCTTCTCTCTTTCTCTGTATTTTCTGGCGCCATATCAGGTCGCCGCACCTTTAGCAACTCCAGCGAGCTCTTGGCCTCATCGGCCGAGCCTCTTTCTCCATCGCGGGTCTCGTTCTCCATCTCGGTCTCTCTCTTCTTAAGTCATTTTACGGCCAAGGAGAACTCGCCACTGCAAGCGCTGACGATCTCTGTAACTTCCGACGATCTCTGCAACTTCCAGCGACTTCGTGGGAGGGATACTTTAGGAATTGGCTCCCTTTCTCTCCAAATCCCTCCAAATCTTGTCAATTTTAGAGGGATTCCAAATGAGGGATTTGGAGGGATAACTATCCCTCGAAATCCTTCCAAATCATTTCTTTCCCTTTCAAATCATCCCATCCAAACACAACACTCCTTATTCTTTCTTTTCTTTTCTTTCCAAATCCCCCCAAATCTTCCCATCCAAATGAAGCCTAAAATTCTCACCCCTTTTTCTCTCTCTCTCAAACAGACTCATCACCAAACCAAGTGATGGTTCTGTAAACATCCACGTCTTCTAACAAAGTAAACATATACGTGTACCATCAATATATATATATATATATATATATATATATATGAAGTAGAAGAGGGACTGATCGGCAAAGGAGATGGAGAGTTTGAGAGAGATGAGGCGGGTGTGGCGCCGTGATAGCGGAGCTTGCCATTGGGGGTAACGGGAGAGGGTTCTGCCGCCGTACATAACTACATAGGAATCTGATGGTGGAGATGGAGAAGGGTTTGATGGTATTGAGCGAAGCTTGCTGTTGGTCCATATTAATTGATTTGGGTTTGGTGTTGCGATTGGTGAGAAATTAGTGTTAAGTCTTTGAAGATCATTGGTGCGAGCATGACGTCCAGGGCCACTGTGTAGGGGCCATGAATGGCGGCGACGCCGATTACAGGGCAGTTGTCGTCAATAAGTTCAAGAAATTAATTTCCTTGCTCGATTGGACCAGAACCGGTCACGCTTGTTTTCGAAGAGATCCTATTTCTCCTCCTTCTCCTTAATAACAACATAAAGCCCTAGAATCTGAGCCGTTCGTTCAAACGACAGTCAATAATCACACGGTGGAGGATAACACATAGTTCAATTTCTAGGGTTTATTGTCCCACTCTGATTCAGTGCTTGCCACCTCTACCTCATAACTATTCCCAGTTGGTCAAAAATGAATATATCGAGAGATAGGAGACCGCAATTAATTTTGTGGTGGCGTCGTCACGAGCATCGGCGGCGAATTCATTCATGTCCTTGTTTACTGACAACACCAATGTCCTACAACCGGTGAATGCTACTGCTAAGTGTGGCAGCTCTTCCGGACGATGCCATTGTTCTAAGAAAAGGTAGGACAACCCACCACTAACTCCTCCTCTATTTTATCACGTTATTAGAGAGTTTCAGAGAGAGAGTTTCAAAGAGAGAGGGGTCAAGAAGAAGAAGGTAGTTTTGTAATTTTAGAAAAATTATTTTTAGTTCTTAATTTAACATTAAATAATAGTAAGGTCAAATTTATCATTTCACAGCCTGATTAACGGGTTGGGTATGGATATTGGGGTAATGTGATCACTTTTTAAAGTAGAAGGAGTTTTTTTGAAATAAGTTGAGGGTTTGTGATCAAAATTTAAAAGTAGTGAAATTAATGTTTTTTTTTTTTTTTTTTTTTTTTTTTTTTTTTTTTTTTTTTTTTTTTCAATAACTTCAGTTTTTTAATCCAAATAATGCCTAAGAAATGGTGACTTTCTTGCCCATCAATATTTTATTCATATTATATGAAAAAAAATCATAACAACAATATTAGAGCATCTGGGGCGGTACTGTGAAAAGTAGAGAGAGAGAGGAAGGCATGCATGTTATCTGTGGTACTCCATTGTTGGGCCCCGCATGATATTCTCTATCACCTTCTTTGCATATAGAGATCCGTTTGGAGTACCGCTACTAATTTTGTAGCTTTCTTTATTCGCTTTTTCGTGTGTTGAATTGTACAGTAAGGGCTAGTCTTAAAACAGTAATAAAACGACTTCCTTTGTTCGCCTTTTTTTTTTTTTTTTGTTGAAACAGTAATAAACGGCTAGTGTTAAACAGTATTAAACGGCTATATTATTTAGCCTATAAATACTAATTCTTATTTTCAATAATTTTCATCTTCAATAATTCTCTCTCTCAATATTTTTTTTTTCACATTCATCTTTATGGATTCTCAACCTCCATTTTATCGCCCCCATCTCAACCAATCTCATAATTCCGAATTACCACCGCAATCCAATTATAATTTGGACTCTTCAATTTTTTTTCAATCCGAAAATCCATCTCAACCCTAATACTCTTATTTCTCATTCCAACCTACTCAGTACCCACCCGTACCACATCCCCAATTCCAACCTCATTACCAATTACAACCTTATCAATACCAACCATCTCAATCCCAATCATCTCAGTTCCAACCATCTCAATCCCAACCTTCTCAATCCCAACCATTTGAAACCCAACGTAATTCTAGGCGTTCGAAAACAAATTGGTCCATTGGAGAAGATGACGCATTATGCAAAGCATGGGTTGACATTGGGGAAGATCCAATAACGGGTTCGGATCAGAAGCAAATCACGTATTGGGGACGAGTCCGTGAAAATTTTATTCTGCAACTAGGGGGCACGACGTCTCGAAATGTACCAGCTTTGCAAAATCATTTCTCACACATTAAAACAAAAGTGGGAAAATTTTCTGGATATTACACATAGATCCAACATCATACTCCTAATGGCTTCAACGTTGAAGATGCAGTAAGTTTTTTACTTCATAAATTTTTTATTAATTTTTTTATTTTTTTATTGGCAATCTAACTAATTTCATTTATTTTTTATTTTTTATAGCTCATTGAAACAAGAAATTTATTTAAAGCGTCAGAAAATGAGTCATTTAAGTTGGACCACTGTTGGTGTATTTTAAAGAATTCGTTAAAATGGAATTCGACTTCCAACAGCAATGACAAAAGGAAAAACAAAAGAGGGGAGATCGATATGAATGAGCCTAGGGATTGGCCAGAAACTGTTCAACCTACTTCGTCAACAGTCCAAACCAATCCATCTACTCCGTCAACACCAGGTTCAGTAAACCTTGGCGACGATGATTCACCTGCAATTAGTGTTGAAAGTTCGCATGGCATTATACGACCTCTTGGACGAAAAACATCTAAGAAGGGTCGCAAAAAAAACAAATAGGAGGTACAACATAACTTATTTCTAGAACAATTTAAAGATTTTACCCATCAAAGTGAGTTGATGAATGCCTTGGCAGTTGAATCTCAAAAAATGAAATTGAAAGCTACATTCGATTTAGGTTTGGAGAAAGAACATACAAAAAGAATGGAGATTGAGGCACAAAAAGAAATGAAAAAGTTGGAATTTGAGCAAAAGCAACTTGATTTCGAAAGGGAAATGATGCTTAAAAATCCAAATGATGCTCCAACAGCAGCAACAAAAGCATGGATCATTGATCAACAAAATGAAATTTATGCACGTTTCAGTAAAAGGGGTAGTTTGTGGAGTTATGCAATGTAATTTTCTTTTTCTACCTATGGGAAGCTAATGTAATGTAATTTTCTTTTTCTATCTGTGGGAAGCTAATGTAATTTTTATTTATATATGTAATGGATATTTCTTTAAATTATAATTATTTTAAATTTCTTAACAAATCTAATCGAAACAAATAATTTTTAAAATATTGTTTATTCATCAGCAATATGAAAATTACATTTTATTCTACTACAACAAATTTAAACATCTTCATTACCAAATTGATTCCACAAATGTTCCATAAGATCTCTCCTAAGATCGGCATTGTCTGATCTATTGCGAATCCTACTTAGGCGAGAGGAAATGTGTGCCGCCAACATTGATGGGTTTCGAACGTAATATGGAAGGGAGATTGGGTCATCTGTTGGAGGTGTCCATTGCAAAATGTGTTCGCCCTCGTCTTCAATGATCATATTGTGTAATATGATGCACGTTCTCATTATCTTGTTTAGATCTTCTGTATTCCAATAAAGTACCAGTTGATGCGTTATAGCCCACCTCATCTGCAACACGCCGAACGCCCGTTCTACATCCTTCCTAACAGCTTCTTGTTTGTTAGCAAATAATTTTTCTTTGACTGTTGTTGGGTGCGGGATGGTCTGCATCAAAGTTGCCCACTTAGGATATATACCATTAGATAGGTAATACCCCATTGTACGCCGATGCCCATTCACCACGTAATTAATTGGAGGCATTGAACCATTGATCATACTTTTGAATACTGGGAAATGATCGAGAACATTCAAGTCATTGTATGAACCAGCCATACCAAAGAAAGCATGCCAGATCCACAGATTTTTCAATGCAACGGCCTCCAATATGAGGGTAGGTTTATGGCTTCTTCTCGTGTGCGTGCCATGCCATGCTGTGGGGCAGTTCTTCCATTCCCAATGCATACAATCTATAGAGCCAAGCATACTTGGAAAACTTCTCTCTTCCCTTTCTCGAAGTAGACATGCAATGTCATCTACATTTGGTGAGCGTAGGTACTGCTCCGCATACACAACAATTATAGCATCACAAAACCTCTTCAAGCTTTCGATCGCAATGCGCTCAGAAATCTTTATATACTTGTCATAAAGATCAGTTGAAATTCCATATGCGAGTATACGGATTGCAGCAGTCATCTTCTGTATAGGAGTGAACCCCATACGACCGAGGGCATCGGGTTTCTGGATGAACCATTCATCGTATGTTGTAACACTGTTCAAAATGCGAAGAAACAACTCTCGTCGCATCTGAAACCTTCTACGAAATATGTTTGGTGGTTAAATCAGATTTTCAGCAAAGTAATCTCGGAATAGCCGTTGTGCTGCCTCCTCTCGATCATGTTGAATATACTTTCTCTTACGAGGTTGAAATAATGCCCGCACCCTATTAGGCGATAATAATCTGCTCACATCGTTCATCCTTTTTTGATGGATTTCAAAAATATCTTCCCCATCTGAATCTGACGAATTCAATGGAAAAATAGACTCAGAGACGGGTATATCTCGTGACGATGAAGTCATTGTTTTTTTGTCTAAGAACTATGAAAACTCAAATAATAGAGAATGGGCTTGTGAATGTAAAGAAGTGGATTTGATAATTGAAAGAAGATAGAATTGAAAAAAGATAAAATAAGTGATTTATATAGAAATTGAAAGAACAAATAATGGACTTGAGAATGCAAATAAGTGGATTTCATAATTGAAAGAAGATAGAATCAGTGGTTTATATAGAAATTGAAATATAGCCGTTGGGAATATAGCCGTTGAGAAAAAAATAAAAAATTATTAAATTCAAATTCAAATTTTTTATTAATTTTTAAAATTAAATTAATAAAATAATAAATAGAGAATGAGATAATTGGGTTCCACACCATGGAACATTTAGATAAAAAATAAATAAATTACCACATCATCACGTGACACTCTACTTTTCAGCTTACGTGACACTCTACTTTTCAAAAAGTAGATAGAGAGCTTGTGTGCCCACACCACTTGCTCTTATAGCCAAAAAGAGGAAACCAAAACAGACTACAATTTGAAATTTTCTTTTTGGTTTGTAGACTGCAACCCGTTCCACTTATTGAGTGAGTTTTAAAATATAAATGTATTTTTGTAAAACATGTTTGTAACCTGTTCCATGGGGTGGAACCGATTCCACAATGGGCAATGAGTTTTTGCAAAAAAGAGTATCTTGAATCTAACAACGCAACCAATTCAACTGGGCGAACCGGTTCTCTATAGTGGCAGTGGACTTTTTAAAGCGTTAGATGTTAAATTTTCCTAAGTGCTTGAACACCAAAAATCATCAGTAATAAAAATAACATGACCTCACTAACATACTTTTTCTAACATGATGTTCGCAACCGAATCAAATCGAACGCATATTGGTTGAACAACTTGTTCCATTTCGGTCGTTGAGACTCAAAAAAAAAAAAAAATTACAATTCTATCGAATACGTTTTGACATTGAAATTTGTCAAAAAGAACCTAGGCCCAAAGTTGAATTGGAGCCTAACATTGGTCTGGGCCGAAACCTGAGACAGGCTTGCTAATAACAAGGGCAACGCAGCCATAGTTGAACAAGAGTTCATACCAGAAAACGGTGGGCTAGATAGTGTTGCAACCTGCTAATGTCATATCTGCTCTATGTACTTGCTAAAGTAAATGGCATGATAAAGAGGAAGTCGTTATGAAGTTTGGGTTGGCGATCTAGCCCACGTCAGTATGTTATTCGGGTATAAAACCTTCCTACCAAGGCTTACTGAACGCCATTGTGGATCAGCCTTTGCCTAGCTAACTGGATCGATCGTCCTAGTCCAATGAGCAGTCTGCGCCTTCCAAAAAAATAGCCTGCTAGTATTTTTATTTTATTATTATTATTATTTAATGTTGTTATAATTATTAATCTTAAATATTAATAACAAGTTTCTTGTTCAAACGCCAAGTTAGACTTAGACCTAATGATGATTACATATAATAATATGTAAACGAAGCCCGGCCCATTGTTGTTGGTGATTTAGTTGAGCCATTACATTAAAGCCTACCTAATCTCTCGACATGTGGGGGCGTAACAGATATATTCTTGGAGTAGCTTGAAAGGAACTCATTTAACAAACAAACTTCTCATTTCAACAATTCAGATATGTATGCGAGCCTCAATTTCTCCCTCTCTTTTTTTGACCAAAATGTGCATGATCTATAATGCTTTAAACACAACCTTATATATTAATTTAATTTATTGAGGAAGATCTTTGAATAGCTAGCTAGAATATGGTAGAAATCATTTCATCATCAAATGAAATATTTTTGTTGAGAGAGCTATACTTGCTCAATTAATAACTAGAACATCTTTAAAGAGAAAAACATTAAATACCATGTATTTGTTACATCAAGTAATTGATAAAATTTCATCGTTGATGTATATACGTTTTGAATCCTATTATTTTATTTTAGAATCATGAAATTTCATTTGGATTAGTGCACTCTATCAACTACATATACTATTTCTTCTTTTTCAAAATATTTCTCTCATTTTTTCATTATGCGTGTCATTCAAAAAGTCAAAGTTTATCTTTTCAAAAATAGATTTAAGTTTTGAGAAATTTCTCAAATTGATAATATAAATATTTTAATTTTAAAAGCTAGTTTGAATATATATTTAATACATGTTACCTTAAAAAGTTAGAAAAAAATAAGAAGAGGATGGAGAGAGCATCAGTATGCATGAGACAAGCTTTTAAACTAGAAGGACTGGGATTCTCAAGCAGTGATCTTGGTTCATTTATAATGCAGATCTATAATATATCATATATTAATGTAGCTTTTTGATGTATATCATATCATTCTCAAGCAGTGAAATTAATGAATTGCATCATGGATCGACCATGTAGCTAGTAGAGTCACCGTTGGATCAACAGTCCGCTTGCTTAAGGAATAGTAATGACACAGCTGCATTTGCATTGTGTGTGTGTTCACGTGTCACCGACCCTAGCTACTTACTTCAAAAGTTTCGAATTCTTATACTATATATTAATTATAAGGTTAGTTAAGTTTATTTTATGCATATATCCAATACATATATATATATATATATTTTTTTTTTTTCCAAGCATATATCCAATATTGGTATCATTGAGATTAGGAATTTTGAATAGATAATAATCAAATTAATGTTGGTAAATACAGAGGTAATTGAGCTTTATTTGGATCGATCAAAAAATTGTCTTTTTTTTTTTTTTTTTTAAAATTTTTTTTTTTTATTTTAATACAATGTGGAGTGTGAATTTATAATGGATGACGTCAAACAATCTAATTTATGAGGTTTGATTCCTAATCAAATTAAAGGAGAGTGGAATACGTATGTAGTTCAATGTTGGGTGTTGAGCTGGAGTAGTAATTAGAAAAGTGACATGCCAGCGAATGCAGAGAGTGAGCCCTCCCTCTCTGTAGGGGCTTGATTAGGAAAGCTGAAAGGGACATCCCATGTGCGCACTCATGTGACCTCTGTCACTGTATGCTGTGGGTGGATATATATTACACAAACATATATTATATGCGACACTAAAGCAACGAGTCCTAATCTCTTGCTTTTTGTAGAGTAAAAAAATTAATTCATACTTTTCGTTTGATTTTTATTTTTTGAATTTATTCATATTTTTTTCTTTTAACATAAAATTACTTTTACTTTATTTTTAATTTTACAATTACCACCTATGTAGCAATAAAAGGTAATTGCCAAAATAAAAATAGAAATTTTTGAAAGAAAGATAATATCCGTGTATATTACTGAAAATTGTTTTTCTTTAAATGTTTCTTTGAAAGAAAAATAATATCGATTTATTACCCGTATTTTGTAATTTTGCAATCAAACTTGAGCCACTAGTATGATATTATAGCGTTTTTCTAATAAACATCTTGTTGTCATCAATAATATGTAGTCTTTTTTGCATGTGTACATACTAAAATTCAAATAAATATATTTTTCCAATATAAGTAAATTTAGGAACAAATATACTATAATGTTGTATTTTGGAATATCGAATTGATACATTGGAATTGAAATTGGATAAATTTTCATTTAAAGTTTGAACAAAATTTCTTTCTATTTCAATTTTAAGATATCTTGGTGTTCTCAAACTAGCTCAACTTGATTTTGAGGAGTTGAGTATGGCACAAATTCTCTTGTTGAATTTGCCGGCACTTGTGTTCAAAGATATAAAAATTGGATAATGCAATAACAAAGATTTTTCTATTTTTATTTTTGTAATTACCTTTTATTGCTACAATAGGTGGTAATGATAAAATTAAATATGAAAATTAAAAATAAGGTGAGAGTGGTTTTGTATTAAAATGAAAGAACATGAGTGGGTTTGGAAAATGACTGTCAGATTAAATGTAACGGTTCATATAAAAAGTGTAAATTAATTTTCTTATTCCACGAGCAACAGGAGATCAGGACTCTATATTATATTATATTAATCTTGATTACCCACACACACACACACACATATAGTACTACCTCCGTCCCATTTTAAATGTCGGCTTCGAGTTCATGAGTCACGGTTTTCAAAGTTGACATTTAAACTTTAAAGTGGAACAAATGGAGTAAAATATATAGTAAATAGTAACTAGTAACTAGTAACAATTCTCTTCTAAATTTTTTAAGGGACAATTCTTGCCGGCAGGTAAGATGTGATATAATCACAAATGTACATATTGTCTGTTATTTCAAAATCAATAAATTAATAAAAAAAGAAAATAATTTTTTTGAAAATAAATTCAATCACTACTCCCTAGTGTGTTTTCCTTATTTATTGCATGCATGTATATGTAGCGTGTCTCAGTACACTAACATACATGTATATGTAGCCCCTGGGAGCCTAGCAGTGATGGTAAGGTGTTGGCTTAAGTCATCACTCGACCCAGGTTCGAGCCTTCCTCCTGTTAAGATTCTCTTGACTCACCCGGTGTATGGTGGGGGCAGCCCTACACCTCCAGTTTGGTGCCACATGTTAGGGTCCGTAAGGACCGCTTCGTGGGGAGTTCTGGGTTATCAAAAAAAAAAAAAAAAAAAAAAAAATGACATACATGTATATGTAGTGTGTCTATATATACATAGAGAGAAGATGCGGTACTTGGATGAATTATAACACGGCCCTTTATTATACTTGGGGATATTCATAAGCTTTGTCTACATTAATTAATTATAGGCACAGAAAGGTGAGACAAAAAGTAAAACATAGTGTACAAAAAGATCACAATTAAGGAAAATGCACTATGCAGTAGATGCAATTGGTAATTAATATTTATTGATGTCATTATTACATATAAAATTGAATTAGTTACAAAAAGTATTACTTACTTTATTAAAACCTCTAAAGTTATGGAGTTAATTACGTACCCCATAAATTTATTGATGCTGGTGGATTGGCTTAGCTATCCGTGGATGAATGAATTTGGATTCAATCCATCTTTCAGTTTCAACATCATATATGAGGTATAATGCACTTTTTTCTTTTCTTTTTTCTCCGGTATAATGCACGTTAACTCAATGCTCCCGTGTAATAAAGTTGAAAAAGAGCGTGGTGATAGATCGGAGTGAATAGAGACGGGGAGAGAGGGTCCCTTTAGACTCTGCACGAATATATATATATATATATATATATATATATATAAATAAATAAATATATATAAATATAAAGAGTAATTGAAAGGGAATCCAAATGCTTCCAAAACACTCGGTATGCCTACTGTTTTATTCTTGTCTCTCATCATCATCTTATTCATCATCATCTTCAGCAACACAAAAACACACACACACACAAAAACAAAAGGCAATAAGTCCCCATCATCCTCACCATATCCAAAACTAAAACTAAAACCAGCCTCACCAATTATACATTTCCACAGCCCAAGCAACCCCCTTTAATTATCTCTCTCTCTCTCATACACACACTATTAATTGCTAGCTATTAGTAGTATTAATTATTATTATTAAAAAGCACGCCGGCCCCCTCCCTAATTTTAAAATTCCGTTCCCTTCTCTCACCGTCGTCTCTATCTAGCTCATATTTATCTCGTGTAGGAGGAGTAATTATACAATTACAGATCGATAGAGCTTGCTTGCATAATTAATTGTAAGTTACAATGACTCGGCTCTTCCGATCCAAGTCTTGGGGAGTAGGACGGACCTCTAATATTTCGGTGTTCAACTCTTCCCCTCCGAGTCCTTCTCTGTATCTAAGCAACGAAGATGAAGAGGAAGAAGAAGATGAGGAGGAGGAGGATCAATACTTGGCCAATAATAATAACAATTCTGTATTCACGATGCCGTTTATAAGTACTCCAGATCGTCGGCGGAGGCAAGTGAATCAGAATCATCAATTCCCGATACTGGCAATATTAGCGGCAGCGTTGAGGAAGTCTCTGGTCACTTGCAGTGCTGTGGAGGCGGAGGATGTGTCTTCCACAGACATGGACATGGACATGGATATGAATATGGATATGCATATGGATATGGATATCGGCTGCCCAACCGATGTGAGGCACGTGTCTCACGTCACCTTCGATCGTTTCAATGGCTTTCTTGGCTTGCCCGTTGAGCTCCAGCCCGACGTCCCCCGCAAGGTTCCTAGCGCCAGGTTCGTATTTATATAATTAATTGATTTCTTCAAACCCCAATTACTTTGATTACTTTTTTTTAATAATTATTTTAGATATTTACTGTGGATTGGATTGGTTTTTCTATCTCAAGATTAATTCGTTTCTGTAGGTTGAGTTCAAACCAACATGTATATTTTTTTTAAAAAAAAAAAAAATTGGTCTTGAACGGCTTGATCTTGTTTCTTAGTAATAAATAATGGAATATTGAAGAAGTAGGAGCTAATTTTCCTCAAGATTTTCAATGTAATAGAAGAAACCTTGGTAGCTAAAACTTTAGTTTAGTTGGGTGAAGCGGGCTTGCCTCTGACTACTGACTAGGACCAGAGAGAAATGTAGTAAAAGCTTACCACCTCCCTCCCACTCCTGCTATTAATTTTGCCAAAGGCAGGATATTTAATGCAAACCAGAAGACAATTGATTTGATTCTCCAGCAAGTATATACCAATAATAATCTCTACATCATATCAATATCATATCCCAAAATGGAAATTATTTGGATTAGAGTATTAACTAATTTAATTAGGATGTATTGAAAAAGTCTTCTAGCAAAGGAGGAAAGGAACACATAACCAATTGACCTTTGCTCCTATTGACTTATTCTATATGTACCTTGATATATATATATTATACCGTGACTGGGAAACTACCACTTCTTTTGGATAGAAATTTAAAATTGGCAGGATATATACCAATTGGATACAAAATTCAAAATTGGATACAAACGTTTTTTTTATAGATAGGGTAGATTATTAACCTTTAGATTTGCTCAATTAGAGGCCTGAACAAAGTCCAATTACTCTAAGCCTCTAAGGAGTTAAGCTCAGTTAGAGACCCCGATTAAGCTGAAAATTGACTCAATGAAGCCCAGCCTGATTGAAACCCTATTAGAGGCCCAATAGTCCACTTCTCATACAGCCCTTGGGCAATATATATCATTGGCTCATCAATTGCCTTTTTGCCCCATATATCTCGGCCCATTTTCCTGTCAAAAAAGCTTAAGCCCAGAGGTATTAAGATCACGGGCCTTGCTGTTTGGGTTTGGGATACCTAAAGAATCTATTAGCTGGTTAAGAGGAGGAGGAAGTCTTAAAATTTTGACATCATCATCCCTTTGCTATCCTCCTCCTATTTGTCAGATATAATGAACAAGAGCTAGAGAAGATCCCGAGCTTTTTTTTTTTTTTTTTTGACAATATAGGCATATAGTAATGATGAGTTGATAGAAATTTTTAGAGCGGACCTGGTTGTGAACATGTATTGTATTATTGTATTATGAGATGAAGTACAGTACGTAGTTAGCTAGCTTCATCTCACGAGATTCAATTGAGTGAATGGTTTCTACGTCATCTCTATGATGGATTGAATTCACAGTTGTCAATTGCATGGTTTAATTTCTTCTTCGCTCTAGCTTTAGCTTGCATTATGCAAATACAACTACTGTTCTATCTTTCTATATATATATATATAGTCCTGATTCTAGCATTAATATATTCTGGTTAATTACGTACCTTACTACTTGGCATTTGTTAGATAAATCATATATATGTTTTAATATATTTTCTCCAATTAATTCTCCAGCGCAAGTGTGTTTGGAGTTTCTGCAAAGTCGATGCAGTGTTCTTATGATCAAAGAGGGAACAGTGTGCCAACAATTCTTCTTTTGGTGCAACAGCGATTGTATTCAGAAGGAGGACTTCAGGTACGTATGGATGTATTTTTGTTTATAATCTATCTACATATAACTTCTTCAATTATATATATGTCAGTATGTGTACGTGTGTGCATGCATGTTGCCAATATCTGTATGTAGGTTGTGACTTGTGGCAATTAATTAATTAATAAAAAATTGAGGTTAATTAATTTGTTTTTATATGTATGTCTTGCATGTTTAAAGGCAGAAGGAATCTTCCGAATAAATGCTGACAATGGTCAAGAAGAGCATGTCCGGGGCCAGCTTAATAGAGGGGTTGTGCCACATGGAATTGATGTTCATTGTTTGGCAGGGTTAATAAAGGTATGCATCCATATATATGCAACCAAGGTGGAGTACTGGATCAGAATTATATCGATCATAAGTTAATTTTCCTTTTCTCAATTGGTGATAATTTATCGTCCTTTATATATATATATATATATATATATGCTACTGTTTTACAATGGCTTAATTTAGTGTATCTTGAATTGATAATGATTCTATATATTAACTTAGATGCATGAGTGGATTGACTTACTAAAACTGAATTTATCTGTCTAGATCTGCATCATTAATCTACTTCATGAGAAAATCAAGTATTATTGCAGAAATTAAGTAGAAACTGGATGATTTGATGGCCTAGGCTTTGACGTGTGGGCCTTATATACCAAGGCTTAATTTAAAGGACAATACTTGGGAGTTGGGTCGTATAACTTAGAATCTAAGAGTTTGCTGAATGGCTTGCATTTAAGAAGAGATTTGTGTAACTGACTTTGCATTTGCTTGGATTCAGGGCTTTATCAATCGAGTTGAGCAAAGTTGTGTGTGTGTGTGTGTGTGTTGAGCAAAGTTGTGTGTGTGTGTGTGTGTGTGTATAAATACAAAACAACTTTGATGAGCCCATCACAACTTCAAAGTCCTCCACCCTGAATTATGTTTTTATTGCTGTTAGAAGTTGTATAGTTAACAACTTCCTCTTGGTTAATTTGCGTTATCTTTTTGGATTGATTACTGAAATTTTCTTATATATATATATTATGTTCTCCAGGCATGGTTTAGGGAACTTCCTACTGGAGTTCTTGATTCTCTGACCCCAGAACAGGTGATGCACTGCAATACAGAAGAAGAGTGCATTCAACTTGTACAGTTACTTCCTCCAACCGAAGCTGCATTGCTGGACTGGGCCATAAATTTGATGGCAGACGTGGTGCACCATGAAAATTACAACAAGATGAATGCACGTAACATCGCAATGGTTTTTGCACCCAACATGACTCAGGTGCCTTTAAATTTTTTGTTCTGTTATTTTCTTAATTTCATGTTTTGCATGTGGAACTTGATCGAAACATGCATGATCTGTTGTACTTGTGTGATGTCTTTATAACGAACATGGGAATTCTTCTGATTTGATTTGCAAATAATTAATTAAATGCATCCAAGTATCAATTACGATGTAGATATGATAGTCAATTAACTAATGGAATTAATTTGATGATGCAGATGGCTGATCCATTGACTGCATTGATTCATGCAGTTCAAGTTATGAACTTGCTTAAGACACTAATAATGAGAACCCTTAGAGAAAGAGAAGAATCAGGTGGTGCCTCAGCGTCGGTGGACTCTCCTAGCAACAAGGTGCAGGGTGACCCCATATATTATTCATCATCAAAGTCTTACAGAGGAGGATTATCGTGTGAGTGTAGTTTTGATGGTAATTGTGGACGTACTGAGAGTCGAAAAACTTGTTCTATTAATGGTAACCACCGCCTTTTGAGAAGTAGTAGTAGTGTTAGTTTAGATAGAGTAGTGGAAAGTGATTGGGAGGACAAATTGTGGAGCTTCAAAAGTAAAAGTGATGGTGGAGAGGAATTAATTGATGAGAGGTCGTCGACGGTGGTTTCAGGTGGTAGAAGTAGTAGTTCAGCTATGAATATGATGATGTGCAAAAGGAGGACAGTAGTAGAAAATGGATGCGGAGGTGGGGGGCATGACGACATTAATAATAATGGCGAAGAAGTTGTTGAAATAGGAATACTGGATAGGCTACGTTTGAGAAAAGGAGTAAGGAAGCTGAGCAGACACCCTGTGTTTCAACTGAATAAGCCACTACTAGTTAAGAAGAAGACCAGTACTAGTGCTAGTACTAGTACTGGAGGAAGAGGAGGCCTTGGGATTGTAAATACTAGCTAGTAGTTAAGTTGGTGATTAAAGCTTGGGTACGTATGAGATTGTACGTGCAACTTATATTAATTAGGTCGTCCAGATTTAATTGTGTTGTTCCTCAATGGCCGTGGAAACAATACTTAATTGTGTAGACATATATATATATATATATATATGTCAGTTTTCTTTTGTCAATTCTCTAGTTATTTAGTTAGTTAGAGAGCATTTGAACGTAGTTCTAAAAATGTTTTGTGGTACCTGTACGTGCTAACTCTACTTCTAGCCTAGCTAATCAACATATCCCTGCAGGTATATATGCCTTGCCTTGTATGATTTTTGTTGGATATCGATCTTTATATGCCATCTCAATAAATGTAAAAACTACGCCCCTAATTGTATGACCTTTTTTACCTCCCTCCAACAAATTTGGGTATTATGCAAAATTCTAATCTGAATGGGCCCTAAAGAGAATAGTTGTTTGTGACATATATGACGAAAGAATTTGCAACCGGAGCAGAGCATACATAGGTTTTCTGTTGTACGTACCACACCCTCACTTGCTATGTATGTATCTAAGCCCAATGCTCTAAAGGGATGTTCACGTACTACTACTTTTATCCAAATTGGCATTTATACTAATTTTTGAAAAAATTAGTAGAATTAAGAGTCCTAAATAACGAAATAATTATTTTTCAATTCAATTTTTTTTTAAGGCAGTACGGAGGCCAAGAGGCAGTACAGAGGCATAAGCCAAGTCAGATTAAGGCATACAAATTATGAAGCAATACAATAAAATGAAGAACATGCTCCAGATTTGTTGAAAAAGAGCCACCGCTTTAGAACGGAAACCATCAAGGGAGAAGAGCAGCACACTGGAGTGACCAAAAGTCAGGTCATCATCAAGGCAACAGTTCCAAAATTGCATCCACAAGGCGCCTCCACACACCAAACCCCGCACAAGATCGAATCAAGCAGGGAAAAACAAAAAACGACCTAGATCAGAGATCTAGCCGAAGAGAAAACAACAGATCCACCCTGTCGAGTCTGAAACAAACCAAACAAGAGCAGATCTAGCCATACAAAAACAAAAAACGACGTAAAAAACCACCCACATGCAAACTTATTGTGACAGGCCTATACTATTAACTTGTAGAAGGCAAGCAAAGTCACCTCCCCACTCCCATGGAAGGGAGCAGGGAGGAAAGGCGGAAGGGCTGAGCGGCTGCGAGAGAGAGAACAGGGGAAAAGTTAGAGGCGGCTAGTAGTGTGAATTGTTGGACCCAATTTGATTGAATTAAACTTAATAATTACAATTGCATCAAGAATTTTTGTTAATGTCTAAAATACCCTCCAAGCTCTTATTTTAAAATACAAAAATATCCTTCATAAAATCATATAATTTCAAAATATCAAAAATTTTAGAAAACTATCAAACGCTACTGAAGTCGGTGGTTTCTGTGCTTGGAAGGAGCGTTGTGCTTGATTGAAGAAAATCCATGAATAAAATCGAATCTATTGCAACAAGAGACAAGTGATTAGAGAATCTCTTCCAACCCTAAATTTATTTACACGGATACTTACTATATTTTTCTATTGGTATGGATACAAAATATGGTAACCTCGTCTTTGTTATAGTCCATAGTACCTTCTTCTCGTCCTCCTCTTTTACTTTGTTCATTTTTATAGATCCACTCTTCCCTGTGTTGGATACAACCCCCAACCCCCACAGGATTGCAATAATTGTTCCTTTTCTAACTCTTTGATTTGAGTTTGACAAAGCAGGCTTATAACTCTTTCATGAATGGGGACACTATATGCTTGCAACAGTAATCTTTTCTAGGAGCTAGCTAGAATACTTTCTTCAGAAACTGCACGGACAGATTTTATCATTACCTCCCCTAGTGTGTTGTTAGCAAAATAATATAGGTTTCTTTTGATAATTTTATTTATTGTTTTTGCCTTTTAATTTATTTTATAATCTTGAGAATTTGGTCTTAGTATAGATTATACATAAAATCCCTTTGAAGAGATAATTATTTGGGACAACTTTATTTGATTTTTTATATATATAATTAAGCAATATTATCGAAGGAGGAGGAAATAAAGAGCAACTAAGAGGCATTTGGTATTTTAGAATTATATGATTTCAACAAGGATATTTTGGTATTTTGAAATAAAAGTTTGGAAGGTATTTTGAACCTTAACAATAATTCTTGATGTAGTTATAATTATTTTGTTCAATTCAATCAAATTGAAATATGAAATCTTAAAATAGACTATTTTGTTATTTAAAACTCCTAACTCTACCTATATGTAGTTTTTCCATAATTTTTTCATACATTATCTTAAATTGGTAATTGGAATGCCACTGTATGATGCTCCCCGGGCATGTGTTGTTGGGGTTTGTATGCCCTAACATAGCGAATTCCTATTTAGATTAAAGTGACATATGTTCCAAATATATCTGAAATATTTATGCTTTATACAATTGGTGAATTCAATATCTTATGTTTCGATTCATTATGGAATTGATAGTGTCTACTTAATTACAAGAGATATTTATATGTATGTGATGACGATCAATACATGAATATAAATAGTAATCATAAATAGTTCATAATCGGTAATTACGGATGGACTCATTATTAACTAAGACTTGAACCGGATCCACATTAGGTTGAGATATATTGCGAGAGTCGTTGTATGCAATTACTCCCTATCACTGTCATGGCATTTGACTTTTAAGAATGAGAGAAATATAGACTCTTTTATTAATTAGTAATTATTTTAATTTGTTCGGCGGATTCTTCGAAATTCGGAGGCCTTCGTGTGTTTTAGATAAAATGATTTTCTATATATTTATTTATTTAAATTATTATTTTTGTCAAACAAATGTTTTATTGTGATCATAGCGGAAATAATCAAAGGTACCAAAATAAATATATTAATTTAGTAGTCGAATTGATGGCTTTATTTATCCGATAACTAATCATATATAGAGGGGCCAAAATGCAACATTGACTTAGAGGTTATTTATTATTTAATTGGAATTCAATTAATTTCATTTAGTGAAATAGAAATTAATTTATGAATTAATTGAATTGGGTCCATGGTATAATGGACCGGGCCAATTATTAATTCATTGTAGCTAAGAAAATAATAAACCCAAAGGATTCTCACTCGTAGCCCAACTTGATATTGGAGGCCCATTAGATTTGAGATATCATGTAAATTTTAGAGATTGAGAAAAATATATTATCTTCAATTATTATTTTTATGTTATCTATATATACATGGGGTCTATGTATATTTTAGGTTATGCATTTCTGCAATTTTTTTTGAAAGACAAGAAAATATTTTCTCTCTCTGAGATTTTTGGGTTAGTGTTCTCATCTAATGGAGGCTCCCACAAGCTAAGCTTTCCAAGGTCATTTATGGAGGCTTATGGGTGATTCCTAAAGACAAGATCATTACCAACAAGATGGAGATCCAAGGAAGAGACATCTAGCAAAGAGATCTATAATAAGTAAAAACATTCACTTTAGAGTAGAGATTTAAGGTTTACTCAAACCTTGATGTAAGTTTTCTGCTATCTCTAATTGAATAGATCATCATGTTCTTCATGCATAAAGCCTGTCTCTATACATGAATCAAGATCTTTATTAAAAAATCCCTCTAAAAGTTTTTAAACTTCCGCTTCACCAACATGCGCATCTAAGGACCATCAGCCAACACCTTACTAAAGATTGAGAAGATTTGGTTAGTGGGGTGACAGGTGGTGGTGGTAGTGGGGTGGGGTGGGGTGGGGTGCGGTAGGGTGGGGTGGGGTGGGGTGGGGTCGTGGCAGTGGGTTTGTGTGGCTCAATTGGATTTTTACGGTGTGTGGTGGTTGTGGTTGTTTGGGTGGTGGTTGTGGGTTTATGTGATGGTTTTATTTCACATAAATGGCCATAAACAGAGGAGACAGAAGAATCGCGATACCTAGAGGAAGCTCTAATCACTTTTATGGCCAGTAAAGAAGACGATGGAGAGCAGTCATCAGCCAAAGGATTGTTATGGCTCTCAATTTTTTCTTGTTCTTTTTCATCTTTCTCTCACGTTACCCTGTACCTTCTCAATTCTTCACCATCATCATCTTCCTTCCCGTTCCATTCTTTTTCATTTTTCTCCCGTTACTTATACCTTTCTTGTTCTCTTCTCTCTAAAATGTAATGATTGCAATAAAGAGACAGTGACGGCCCTAGTTTTTCAAGCTAGTGTGTCCTGTGATGAATAGAAGATTGACTCAATAACGGATCTGAATGCGGAAGTGAAGACAGAAACCAAGTCCCCAGAGATGCAATGCATCTCTAAGATGCTAAGGTGACCTTCCATGAGGCCACGAAACTCAACAAGAACCAACGCGGAAGGAAAAAAATCATAAAAAGACCAAAGAAGCCCCCAAGGGCAAAATAGTCTTTTTACATAGAAGCAACGTATCTAGAAATGTACATCATTTCCAAGACACATCCGTGACTTTCCATGAAGTCACGAAACTCAAAAGAAAGCATAGCAGAAGCAACTTAAAAAGAAAACCGGATAAGTTTAGCCCCAATGGCAAAATAATAATTTTTAGCAAGATTTGGGTGCTACCGAGCACATCATTGGACAGACAGCGAAAAATTAATCAAGGTAGACTCAATAATCACTTGATTCGGAATTCGGATGGAAGAGAAAAGTCAAAATAAAGTTTTGATGTCGCTGCGACCGTGAATAGTGTTTTTGAAGGTGTAAATAGTGTTTTTGACAGAAAAATGCTGAAATCGTGTGCCATTTTGAGGCACTAAACGACTTTTTTTGGAAAAATATGAAGAAAAAACCCCCCTTAAAATAATTTTTCCAAGTTGACCATGTAGAAAGAAAAATTTATTTTTGACGTGAAATCCCCAAAAATGCCCTTAGATTAGTTTAAGTCAAAAACGAAGAAAAAAAAATAAAAAACTTTGCACCAATTGTTCATTTGACCCTAAATGGTGTTGTGTGCTAAAACGATCATGCACACAAATGTAAATAGTGATTTTAAGTGTGCGGGAATGACTCGTGAGCCCCATATAAGCCCGATGCAAAATTTGACCTATCAAAACTCAAAAATGCCTAAAATGAACTTTAAAAAGAAAATTTGAAACTAAAAATTATAAAATGGTTTCAAAAGACCGTTTGGCCCTTGGCCACACTTCATGCATAAATGAAGAGACCCTATGGAAGTGTTAAGGCCCACTTCCCACCACCTATGCAAATGTAGTGAAGCTAAAGCATGCTGTTTTTCTATTTTTCAACAACATAGCTTGAAA